TCATTAATAATATAGCTAATCTAAACGCTAAAGGTTTTCATGTCACCGCAGCAGTACTAGATATAAGTAAAGCTTTTGATTCGGTCAACATCCCAATTTCAGCGAATATTTTTTTAGACAGTGGTTTTAACTCTTTAATTATTAATTTTATAATCGGCTTTCTAAGTAAAAGATATAAGTAAAGCTTTTGATTAGGTCAACATCCCAATTTCAGCGAATATTTTTTTAGACAGTGGTTTTAACTCTTTAATTATTAATTTTATAATCGGCTTTCTAAGTAAAAGAATATTAACTATGGGTAACTCCGAGATTACTGTGAGTAAAGGAGTCAGCCAGGGTAGCTGCCTTAGCCCAATACTTTTTAATCTGTACACCTCTGATTTGCATGCCATAAGTGATCAGCAAAGCATTTTATTTCAATATGCGGATGATTTCTTTCTCCTTACTTTTGAAAAAGATTTTACAACTGCAAGAAATGTTCTTGAACATAATGTTAAATTTATAGAATTGCACATTTCCCTAAAAATATAAACTTTTAATCCTCGAAAATTGTCTATGATGCATTTTAATAATAATAGGAAATTATTAAATATTATGTGTAATAACATAGCTATTAACGATGTAGATCAGGTTATTTATTTAGGTAGGACAATTTGTACAAATAATTCCTCTTTAGGACATGTTAAACATATCATAGCCAAAACTAATTAATCCAATATGTTTTTAAATATGTTAAGTGGATGTCGTTTTGGCATTCATCCCAGCAAGGCCCTTAACCTTTTTAAGGCTTTTGTTAGGCTAAAATAAGAATACGCCAGTTCTTCTTTCGCTTGCATTTCGAAAACGGTGACAAAAAAGTATTCAGGTTCATGCAAATTTCTTCCTTAGGAAATCCCTTGGACTTATTAAATCGACTCCCATTAACATAATATACCATTTAGCAGGTGAACTTCCTCCGGAATATAGATTAAAATTTGCTACTGCGAAAGAATTGGCCAAAATTTTCGCTCATGGTTTACCATGATAAAGCCTCTCTTTTGGCTAATGATTTCGCAGCAAAAAACCCTAGCTACATAAAGGTTTACTCGGAATTCAAGGATATTTTTGATTCAATTGCTAATCTAAATGTTTTTTCTTACAAATCTCGGAAAATTTCGATGGATGTGGATTTTTTTAAGGGCATTATCCCAAATAAGAAATCGTCTAGCACGTCATTAGTTAACTCGCTTTTAAAAGAAAAACTTGACTTTTTAAATAAAAAAGGTTTTGAAATCCTTTTTACTGACGGCTCAGTTCAAGAAAATTTTGCAGGGTGTGCCTTTGTAAATTCAAATTCTAATACCATTAAAAATTTTTGCACTAACACATTTGCCGCCCCCACAAATCGCGTAGCGGCAGTACTGGAAGGTTTTTTGCTATGACTATTTTTTCCTAGTCAATGACTATTTCTAAAGACAATATATATCTGAAAAACGAATTTCATCCAAATCGGCCGGCATATATATAAAATTTTCCATACAAACGGGATAAAATTTGTAACGCGTGGCGAGTCAATCGGCACTGTCTTTGGCCTTTTCCTCTGCGCACCATTCGGGCACACTAACCGATCACACGCTACAAGAAGCTTCACTCGCGCTCACATCGTCTAATAGTTCGGTTCGTAAAATTCGGTTGTTTAGATTGGCCATCATCTCCGTTTTCATGGGACAAAATTTTTTTTCTCCAAATCCCATTGTTTCTAGAGGTTACGACACTTGCATATTTAAGCCAACGATTTGTGGTGTCGGTGTTTTAAAGCCCTTCGCTTCAAGAACAGCCAAAGGAAGTATTTCCTCTATGACTAAGTCTATGAACGCATTTTTTACATGTTTGTTCAATGCAAACACTTCAGAATCAGATTCTGATTCAGAAAAAAACTCAAACTCATCTCATCTAAAAATCACTTAGCGGCATTATTGCGAAAAATACTAGCCCTAAATAAAAAGGTAATCGCGTATTGTAAAAGTAATGCAATAATTATTCTAAAATTATTTATATTTATTTTTAGGAAAGCAAAAACTACTGGAAGTTTCATCTGAAATCCAAATTTCGTCGTTAAGTCAGATTGATGGAGCATCCCAGAGCACATGTTCTCTACTGAAGTATTTCCTTAGCTCCATTGAGGTGAACTCGGAAAATGAGGAATCCGATGACGATGATGGCGAATCACACATACTCTCCGAAGCAAATTGGACTGCATGAGAATATAATGGAATACTGGGAAGGCAAAAAGTTTACATATCCTCGTCTCTACCAACTAGCAAAAGTGTTGCATAGTGTGCCTGCTATCCAGGTTTCGGTAAAAAGAGCATTTTCTGCACTGAAATTTCGGATTTACGGTGTAACTTATCATCGGAGTCCATAAAAAAACTGTTGTTTTTAAAACTGAATAAATAAATGTTCTTTAGGAAAGAAATTGACGAGCTAAAATTATTTTGTTCTAGTCTGCCGAAAAAAATAGACAACAAATAGTTCAATATGATCGAAAGAATTTTAAGAAACTCGGTGTGTACTTTTACATGGTTGACCCACACTTGAAAATTTCTAGTAGAAATATAACTAAATAAATTGAATTGAGGAATCCTTGATTATGTCCTTTAAGAACATTGAAAGAGCATTTTCTGCACTGAAATTGGTACTTTCCGATTTACGGTGACGATACATCATTTGAAAGGTACTGCGCCACAGATTACAAATATGTTAACCGTTTTTTTTTAATAGTCCACTTGGTATAGAAGTAATTTTTATAATAAAAATGGAAATATTACTCTTATTTTCAATTTTTTTAATAAAAATTGAATCAAAATTTTTATTTTTATTTTTTTTCATAAAAATTGAGAAATAGTTCTTATCCATAATTAAATCGAAATAAAAGTTTATTGTCTTTCCGGATTCACCGTTAAAAAATGGTATATGTGGCCTTTTCCCACTCCCTGCAAGTTGGTTCAATTGGTGGTTCAATTTTTTTGAACTCATAGGACAAAACAAATCATAGGATAATGCTCGGTGTCGTTTTTCTGCATAACCTTTTTAACGGGGATGTAGATAGCCAGCATTTACTAACACGTTTAAAATGTAACATTCCTAATAGAAGGACTCGAAACTTTAGTCCTCTGTTCCTTAGCCATTGTAGTTCGACATATGCACTGCATGACCCTTTTCTAAAAATCGAACTACAATGGTCTCTACTCTATTACAACTCTTTCCTGTCCCTCTAATTTAAAATAAATAATTTTAAATTTCCTTACTAACTGCTCGTAGCTTAACAAATTTCAAATAGCTTTATATGTACTAACAAATCTTTCCCACGCCGCCCCCGCCAGTTTCGATGCCCACGCCGCCGCCGCTGGTGTGGATGCCCCCGCCGGTGTCGATGCCGCCCCCGCCTTGAAAAAGGGGTGCTTGAAAGAGGGCAAGGTGCACCACTGTGATTGGTGCCCCTTTACCAAGGAGAAACCAAATTTCTCGATGCATATAAAGTTTCGGAAATGCTCCGGCATGGTGGGTGTCCGGTACGTTCCCGGCCCCAAAATTAGGGAATTGTGGGCACTGTGGGAAGGGCTGCTTAATCCACCTGCTAATCCTCCTTCCCGCCTTTTCCCAGCTCCACTCCAGCCGCCTATTCCGAGCCAGATTTAATTAATTTTTTTTATCGTTTTTATTATTATATATAATGATAATAGTAATTATAATAGATATAAATTATAAATATAAATATATAAATTATAAATATAATAGATAATAGTATTATAGTAAATATAGTAGTATTATTATTATTACTGCGAATTCTGTCTGTATTAGAAAGAACTATCGAATTTTGAAGTGCATTTAAAGCAAATAATTTAATTTAAAAAATATAGTGTCGCTGCCGCCCGCTCGAGAGTTAAATTTAAATTTATGCGGTGCCGCCGTGCCCACCTGGCACATTGATGGGCAAGGGGGCGTTTGGACGACCACGGACCGGCAGTGTCCGTACTGCTTTAAGGACTGCAGGAGCCTGAAAGCCCTGACCAGGCACTTTGAGGAGTGCTTGAAGGAGGGCAAGGTGCACCACTGCGAGTGGTGCCCCTTTACCAAGGAGAAACCAAATTTCTCGATGCATGTAAAGTTTGGGAAATGCTCCGGCGTGGTGGGTGTCCGGCATATTCCCGGCCCCAAAATTAGCGAATTTGGCCACTGGCATCAGCAGTTCCCCCTTCACCCAAGAAAATTATGTTTAAGTTTCCAAACATTTTTCTTGAGCGCCTCTCGGTCGTCTGGGCCTCTAAGCTTTATGATGAATACAGGAATGCTAGCTGATGCTCTTATTGATGCACAAGCCATTTCCAAATTCTGATAGACCGGTAAAAAAAAAAATATTACAGAACCAGTTGAGCCAAATTAAAGGCACAAGATTAAAAAAAAAAAGAAAATAAAATAAAAAGCGGGAAGTCAAGCGTTTGGCGAGCTGTTGACAACTGAATGGGACTGGAGGGAAGGCCGCGTTATATACCGTTTTTGGGACTAAAAAAATCCCCATCGTCATGCAACATGCATCTGGTCACACTGCTCGAAGGGCTTCCTTTTAATGCACTATGGGGAATTTGGCCGATTCCAAATGCACTATGGGGACAGTGGCCCAGGAGGAGCCAGTGGCCCAGCCTTTGACCTGGGAGTCTTTGATTACGGAGGCTTTGGCTGGGGAGGAGGAGGACGCAGTGTCGCCGGTGTCGCTGGCGCCCGCTCGGGAGTTGAATTTAAATTTATGCGGTGCCGCCGTGCCCACCTGGCACATTGATGGGCAAGGGGGCATTTGGACGACCACGGACCAGCAGAGTCCGTACTGCTTTAAGGACCTCAGGAGCCTGAGGGCCCAGAATAGGCATTTTGAGGGGTGCTTGAAAGAGGGCAAGGTGCACCACTGTAACAGCGCCTGAAGCGTTGCGCAAGCGCGTATATATATATAGTTAGCCTGGAAGTATGCTCTATTCTTACATAGGTACATATGCACTTAGCGTTGGCATTACCAAATTAGTGTACCCGCAGCTACAGGTGCAATAGACCAGCTGATATGCATGACAGAGTCGCAATGCAAAGCTCGGCTCTGCATCGCAGCCAACTTTGCTGACCCGTATCCGAATTCCGGATACGTTCTTTTCGTCAAAAGTTATTCGAAGCGATCACACGCGTTTAATCCGAGTGCCGCTCACCAAGTCGGAAATATATATATACAAGTGTTCCGGAAGAGAAAGTGGCTTATTCATTTATTTATTTTGGCGGCTGCCTAGGTAAGCCAAAAAAATTAAACGACTTGGCTTGAGCCGGTTTCTGACTTTTCATTAGATTAGATTAGATTTTTCATTAGATTTTTCCTTTGGGTCCCAGTGGATAATCGGACCGCCTTGGCCATCCGCGGCTACAGCAAGTGCGGAGTTTCGCGGGCATCGAGGGATTACCCGGACATCGCCGAGAGATAGACGGGACACGTAGTGTCTACTGGAGCACCCCTTGGACGCCGTACTTGGAGCCACGCCCCGCGTCTACAGGAGCACCCTCCGGGAGCCAAGCCACGCGGTCCCCCCGCGTCCTCAGGAGCACCCCAACAACCCAGCACCAGCAGCTGGCTAGACCTAAAGGTCTACCAGCGTTCGCCCCATCTTAGCGGGCAGAAAACCCGCTCGTTTATTTATATTTTTTTTTGTAACCGCCTCAGAAGCTCACCCTGTCTAGCTACCTGAGCAACGGCAATCAACTAGGCCACATAAAATAGCTGCTTAGTTCAGAGCCAATATGTAGTCCACCAAAATTGTCATATACCAGGCCATCGTCCAAACAAAACAATAGTGATCAGCCACGACACTGGGAATAATCTTTCATTTTCGATTGGTGTAAATTATTATTAAAAAAAAAAAAAAAAAACTATAAATTCGCCCAGTGTCGGAATTTTATCCACATTTAACCTATAATATGCGATGGCTGCACTGGAAAAAAAATTTGGAAATAAAGTTAATTTAAATACTAAATGAAAATCAAACTTAAACAAATATTGTTCAGAACAGGAAATATATGTAGGTGTAGAAAAAGAAATTATAAAAACATTAAATAATATAAAGAAAAAGAAAAGAAAGGGTAGAAAAAGAAATTATGAAAACATAAAAATATACAAAGAAAAAAAAAAAAAAATACAATTATGTAAATATTAGGAATCTTAGGTCTCTGGAAATATTATTAGTTTAAGAAAATAGCTGGTTGTCTAAAACAGATGAATGCTCGGTATCTATTTAACCCCTGGCGAACCAAAGTCGCTGTTCTATTGCAGGTACCCCTCGGGAGATCGATCTTCGTCGTGGAGAGTACACAAAGTGAGTCACTATAAAACAAATCTTGTTCGTTGGTTAATGCATACTCGGCATTCACATTCTGATGATTATAAAAGAATATACAAACAAAATTAAAAAAACAAAACAACCCCAGCTAAAAGCAAATTAAAGTGGAAAAATTAAAATTTCTTTTATTACAAAAAAAAAAAAAAAAAAAATTTTTAAATTTTACATGATTCCTAATTTTTAAATTTATCAAATAAATAATAATACTAGCAAAGAAAAATTAAATTGAACAAATGAAAACCCTAAAAAAAAAAATGAGAACCACAAAAGATATTTTATGTCAGTAAGAACGATTAGAAATTTAAGTAAAGCTTATACCTATGTTGTCTACTAGGAACTTTTCTATATATCTTTATAAATGTTAAGCCTTATTAAGATTAAGATCATCTTATACTAAATTGTTAATTCCTGCCTAATTTCATGAAATTATTCTGTTCTTTATTCCACCTTAGACATAGAATTTAATTTAGATTATTAAAAAATGAATTTAAACAAAGCTATGGAGTAATTTTTCCGTTAGAACTCTGCCAATGATGATGCGGTCGTAAGGGTACCTAAAGGGATCACGCGAATTAAATTTGGATCCAGTGATCTTAGGTAGGGCGGGCCACAAACGCAACAACATCAGCGTCTCGTTTTCCGAATTCTCCTTTTCCTCCTCTTAGTTTAATCCAGGGGTGCCCAAGCTCAGCATAGGACAGAGCAAACTCGAATACCAATGCAAAAAATCACCAATACATTAAAGCAGTGATCGGCACCCCAATACATTGATATGATTTTACCGCATTAGTGTTAGTAACGTATAGCAGAAAGTAGGCTGTGAGCATGACGTTTCACACATTTATACTGTGTGTGTGTGGCAGAGCTCGGGCAGAGAAATTTCCTATGCCCCCGAGATAGGGCCGTGCCGACCTCTGCATTAAAGCTAGAAATTTTTTTTGCAAGTCATGTCGGTATACTGAAAAAAATTATAGTACAATTTTCAAGGGAAAAAAGTAATACAAAAATATTTATGAAATAAAAATTAAAAACTGTAATAAAGTTATAAATAAAAGAAATTCATAGCTCAGATGTTAACCATTCTTTTTGAGATCTCAACCAAAAGTAATTTTTTGCAGTGAAAAGTTTTCGGTAATAAAAAAACAAAGTGCCTTCGTATTAGTACGAAAAGCTGAGACACTATACAATTGTTGTTGCTTAACTCGAAAAACGAAAAATTGTTTTTGTATTTAGCCCTTGCCTATGCTACGAGCCACACACGTACATACATATATAAAATTTCATTTCCCATATAACGAGCAATTCCAACAACAAAGGAGCTCCGAGAGCAATGGGGCTGGGAACCCCTGGTTTAATCTATCTTCTGGAATTAATTTACCTTTTCCCGGTTTCTCTCTTTTATCTACGCTTAAATTGCGTATGTCGTCGCAAGCACGCTCAATTTCTTGATTAATAATAATAACCAGGGACCAGATCTGAATTAGCAAGACCTCCACCCCCAAAGCCGACGAGCAAAAGCCGGATACTATAGCGTGCCCCGCGAAGTCAGATCTGTGTTCAATACTGGGAAACATAAGGTTGCACGTTACACCACTGTGATTGGTGCCCCTTTACCAAGGAGAAACCAAATTTCTCGATGCATATAAAGTTTCGGAAATGCTCCGGCATGGTGGGTGTCCGGTACGTTCCCGGCCCCAAAATTAGGGAATTGTGGGCACAATTTTTGTGGGCAAAAATATAGTGTCGCTGGCGCCCGCTCGAGAGTTAAATTTAAATTTATGCGGGGCCGCCGTGCCCACCTGGCACATTGATGGGCAAGGGGGCGTTTGGACGACCACGGACCGGCAGTGTCCGTACTGCTTTAAGGACTGCAGGAGCCTGAAAGCCCTGACCAGGCACTTTGAGGGGTGCTTGAAGGAGGGCAAGGTGCACCACTGCGAGTGGTGCCCCTTTACCAAGGAGAAACCAAATTTCTCGATGCATGTAAAGTTTGGGAAATGCTCCGGCGTGGTGGGTGTCCGGTACGTTCCCAGCCCCAAAGTTAGGGAATTTGGCCACTGGCATCAACAGTTCCCCCTTCACCCAAGAAAATTATGTTTAAGTTTCCAAACATTTTTCTTGAGCGCCTCTCGGTCGTCTGGGCCTCTAAGCTTTATGATGAATACAGGAATGCTAGCTGATGCTCTTATTGATGCACAAGCCATTTCCAAATTCTAAAAGACCGCGAGAAAAAAAAACACAAAAAAAAAATAAGTCTTATTTCCAGTCCCTGAATCAGACACACCTTTTTGTTCCATTTCCATGTGCCGTCTTAAATAGCCCAAATAATTGCGGTATATTGCATATCGATATATTTTTTTAATATTAAATAATTAAATTAAATAATTAATATTAATATATTTATACCCTTGCAGAGGGTATTATAATTTTGTCCAAAAGTGTGCAACGCAGTGAAGGAGACATCTCCGACCCTATAAAGTATATATTTTCTTGATCAGGATCACCTCCTGAGTTGATATGAGCATGTCCGTCTGTCCGTCTGTCCGTCTGTCCGTCTGTCCGTCTGTCCGTCTGTCCGTCTGTCTGTTTCTACGCAAACTAGTCTCTCAGTTTTAAAGCTATCGTCTTGAAACTTTGCACACACCCTTCTTTCCTTTGCACGCAGTATATAAGTCGGAACGGCCGGGATCGGCCGACTATATCCTATAGCTGCCATATAACTGATTGATCGGAAATGGTATAACTTTGGTGTTTTTAGAGTTAGAGAGTTCAAATTTGACATGAGAGCTATTTTTGGCAAAATAATACGACATGCCAAATTTCATAAGGATCGGCCGACTATATCCTATAGCTGCCATATAACTGATTGATCGGAAATGGTATAACTTTGGTGTTTTTAGAGTTAGAGAGTTCAAATTTGACATGAGAGCTATTTTTGGCAAAACATTACGACATGTTAAATTTCATAAGGATCGGCAGACTATATCCTATAGCTGCCATATAACTGATTGATCGGAAATGACCCAACTTTCGTGTTTTTGAAGATAGAAAGCTGGAACTTGGTACAGATTATATATTTGGTCAGATGATCCGACCTACCAAATTTCATTAGGATCGGCCGACTATATCCTATAGCTGCCATATAACTGAACGATCGGAAATGACCCAACTTTTGTGTTTTTGAAGATAGAAAGCTGGAACTTGGTACAGATTATATTTTGATCCATCCTACCAAATTTCATAAGGATCGGCCAACTATATCCGATGTTTGCGATATATATCCGGTTTTAGCTGCAAGGGTATATAAACTTCGGCTCCGCCCGAAGTTAGCTTTCCTTTCTTGTTTTAATATTAAAATATATATTGCATATCGATAATTTTTAATATTAAAGATGAAAAGTATTTTCAGCTTTTTGTGTTTGGAACGTTGAATTATTCACATTCACCTGGTTTCTTAAGCTTGATTGACTTGGTTCATAAGGATTCTATCTCAACTAAATCTACTTCATTTCTTAATCATCGTTAAATATTTTTTTTTATTGGTGAGAACTTTTGTGTTTTAAAATTGGCATGCTCCGAGGAAGGGATGGAAGCCTTGACCTCGTCGGCCATTCTTGTCGTAGATTTGATCGTAACAAAAAACAAAAACGAATATGTTCTAATAAAAAGTACAATTCATAAAAAATTTTTTTCTCTTTTTTTTTTATAAGTACCGCTCCGAGTTGAAGTAAAACGAATACTCTCGCATTAACCCGAGGCCAAATAAATCTTCCACCGTTACCAACAAAAAGGAACTTTATATAAGCAAACAAAAATTCCGGGCGGTGTTAATTCTCTCGCATCTGATTTTAAATCTCCACACAAATGATCGACTAAGTGTGAAGAACAATCGAGTGACACATCGATACTACCGAGAATTTCTTCTAAATATGAGGTTTTTCCCCTAACAATATTTTCTAATAAATCTGATCTAGGTGACAGAAAACGTTAAATTAAAATTAATTTATTATTTATTTATTAATTTTATTTATTAAATTTTTATAAATTTAGAACAAGTTTGTTCATATGTATTATTAAGAACTTTTTTGGTTTTGATTTAATTTTTTCTTAAGAATTTACGCCGACGAACATGGGATGAAGAATAATTTAAAAGTTTATAATCTTAGACCGGTAATTACCGGTCAAATTAACATACGTTTCAAAGTTATTTATTTTATTAATAGTAATGGAGGTGATGGATGAATTAGGGCCGAAGTCAGCACCAAATATTAAAAAAGAGCCTTCAATTGTATGGGAGCACTTTAAAAAAAACAGCGAAAACCAGTAAGGAATTTGCTACCACTGCGGTAAGTGGCTTAAGACTTTAGGGAATTCCTTCAATCTCCTTGGCCATCTTAAGCGCTTGCAGTCGAGTTGCAGCAAAGAACAAATTCTTATGTCGAAGGAAAGTTCTTTGTGCCTTTCTATCATGAGTCATGAACATGATAGAACATGACTCTAAAAAGCCGCTCTGACAATGAACGTAGTCGTGAAAGAGAGTTTAGTCCTTCAAGTTGAGTAAATGACGAAGGCTTTGTTGAGCTTTTAAAAGAAGTACTACCACGCTATAAGTGGCCCAGCAGAACCTTCTTTCGGGATGTCATGCTTCCAAGCGGGTATGATGTTGTTCAGCTGAAGGTACAATAAATTCTAAATACTGTTGAACATGTTGGTTTATTCGCCGATTTGTGGAAATTTGCTGCAAACGAAGGAAAGGAACTGTCTTTTATTTCCATATTATTATTATTTCCACACTGTTATCTTAATAGATTACAGATTTAACTTATTAATATTATCCTTAGCGGTCATGCTTTTGATAAACACACTTTTTACAAATAAAAAGTTTATGACAACCCCAACTGTGATCTATTATCAACTCTATTAGTTGAACAACTAAGACAAGGCATGTAAAAAAGTTATGTTCTCGGTGACAATGGGACAAGACACAGATGAAAAACTCCATTTGGCTGTTCTTGAAGCGAAGGGCTTCAAAACACCGAAACCGAAAACCTTTGGCTTAAATATGCCAGTTCTGTATTCTCTAGAAACAATGCGATTTATTGAAGAAAAATTCTGTTCTAGAAAACGGAGATGATGGCCAATTGGAACAACCGAATTTCACGAACCGAACTATTAGATAGAGGTGCAAAAAACATCGATGAAAACATCGATGCATCGATGTTTTTTGAATTTTCCAAAACATCGATGTTTTTTTTTGACCATCAATGTTTTTGTGCCGTCACTATGAAGAGAACAAGCAAAGAAGAGGTACGTAAATGAGCAGATTTTGGAGTCTACTTTCATGAGTCTTCGAACAGTATGGCGGCCTTCAAAGAGGTAGTAAAAAAATTTATGTGTGTGCCTGCCACGTCCTGCGAGTCTGAAAGAGCCTTTAGCAAAGCTGGACAAATTATTTCCGACCGCAGGACCCGCCTTAACTCAGATATTGTTGATAAATTAATGTTTATCAACAAAAATCACCAATATCTGAATAACCAATGATCTAATTTGTTGTTATTAATTTAAGGCAAAAGAAATAAATATTTGTTTTTTAATTTTATTAAAACCGTATGTCTATTTATCTATTTAACTTATTTAAAAAATATTTTTTTAATTTTTAAAAACATCGATGTTTTTGATCGTGGAAACCTTCCAGTACTGGCGCTACGCAACTTGTGGGGGTGGGAGGTGGCCTAGCAAAAATTTGATTTAAACTTCGTGGGCATTGTAGAAGTCTCCATGCCAAATCTTAAGGCTCTCTTTCTTATAGTCTCTGAGGTCCACCATCAAAAGATTCCATAAAATATGTTGCCTACAACCTTCAAAACTATAAAAACAGCGTTGGGATGAAATAACAAGAAAGGAAATTTAACTTCGGGCGGAGCCGAAGTTGATATACCCCTTCAGTTAAAACCGGATATACATATATTGCAAAAATCGAATATAGTTGGCCGATCCTTATGAGAATATTATTATAAAACCAATTAATTACAATAAAAAATCTAAAAAAAAGTACCAAGCTTCTATCTTCACAAATACCAAAGTTGATATCTCCACCAAATACCAACCAGCTTTCTATAAATAGTAAATAAGGACCTTGAAGCTGTCGAAGTAACTATTTACTCCACACAAAAATTAAGGATTACACAGTGCGACAGTGATTTGGAACTTTTGAAGAGACCTAGTAGTAATTGTTCATTAGGTCGAGTATAGTATAAAACCATGTTTAAAATTTTTCAAACACCCTCAAAATCTTGTTTTGAAAAAAGCGTTATAACTTCAAAAATTTTCATAATTTCCTAATGAAATTGGTCTCGTTTTATTCAGAATTGACGAGACAATATTGATATGTGTCAAAAATGATACCATTTCTTGGAAGTTGTACCGGAAAAATGGTGTCAAAGTCAGAAAAACACTACAAAAATTCAAAAATGTCAGTTTCTTGCGTAAAAATTGTATACTCTTTGTTGAAATAAATTAAAGATCTATTTTTTTTTCAAAAGTTCCAACATTTAACTATGGAAAAACGAAATAAATTTTAAAATCGGTTTAAAATTACGCTTTTAGGGATTTTTAAGAGCAAAAAAGTCCCGAAAAACAGTTTTTTCCAAATAAATCGAGGTTTTGAGGGTGTTTGAAAAATTGCAAACATGGTTTTATACTATACTCGACCGAATGAACAATTCCTACTAGGTCTCTTCAAAAGTTCCTCCAATTTTTCTTTTTTTGTAGCACTGTGTTATTATTGCGTACATACATTCCCCCTGACAAGAACTTTTAAATTCCAAATCCGAGAAACATGTTTGATTTCTCTTCTAATAACTTCTAACTCAAAGCTGGGGCTCGCCGAATAACAAGCGAAAAATACCCTAAAACTCGTATTTCTCGAGCGAAATACCCTAAAACTTAGGGCCTGAATGAATTGGAGTTAGGTTCTTCATGCAGATTGGCATAAAAATCCGTATTAATCAAATTAGTTTTTAGATTTTTTTTCAAATATTCTTGAGGTTTTCCCTCAAAATTATGAAAAGTTTACAAGTATGTTGCCAAAATAATGCCCACAGCGAAGGCTATATCTAATTATAGCATTAATCAACCTCTGAATTGTTTATAATATGAACAAACTCTTATTACTAAGTTACTTGCAAAGTTTTTAATTTAATTTAAAAATTTACCAAATATTACTTCATTTAGTACATTATCTAAAATTAAATAACACTTTCTTAATATAATGTTGTATTTACGTTACGTGGCCACAATATATTTCGGTGTTTGGTACATCTCGTAGGCGAATTCCTCTCTGTGGCTGGGATCGTACTGCAAGCCAACGTATTCTATTTCAAGTCCAAAGGGACCGTCCATGCCTTTTTTAGCTGCCACTGAGAAACCAAAGTGGGTTACTCGATTTAAGGAAATGGGACCTTGACGATCTTGAACTCGCCCTTTTGAGGACAAGAAGAACTTCGAGAAGGGTATTTTGGCGATCTGCCAATGGGGTCCACCTCGGGTATACAGGACGTAATGGTAGATGTCGTTCCACATCAGATCGAAGTAGCCTTCGGTGTGCAAGTTTATCAAGTAGCTCCGTCCATCGCCGCGTACTTTCATTATGAGCATGTTGTACTGCGTCCAGTCGTAGGTGGTCTCCCGTTTAAAGGATTTCTAGAACAGAGATTTTTTTAACCAAAGAGCAATAAAAATATGATAAAATCCAACTCACGCGCACTCTTTTTGTGCGAATATTTGCGTATCCCGTCCGCTTGATAATGCCATCCTTTGTGTGATCCGAGTTTACCTCGCCATGAAACAGTCCGGCTCCAGCGGCACTTAATTCGAGAGTGGCAGTGCTCTTGCCCTCGCCGTGATCCGCATCTGTGGTCACTGTCCATTTATCAAGGACATCTGGCGCCTTGAAGTCAAACACCACGTCTGTTTCGCCTGGACGGAACACCAGTATTGGATCACTCTCGAACTGTTCCTTCACCTCCTTTCGCCACAGCTTGATTTCTTCCTTGAGATCTTTCAATCCGTCCAAGATGAGCTGCTTTTTAGAGGGTTCCGGCAGTTTGGTCTTGTAGCCGGACTTCTTTTCGCGCTCCCAAAAGGTCCGGTGAACTGCAGTGGTGTGTATATGCTGTTGGACAGCAGGCAGCCAACAGCCCAGGCGCTGTCCATGTCTCAGGATATTGTTCATCTCAACATTTGCTCTATTTTATTTATTTTTAAGTAAATCTAAAAAGCTACTCCGGCCGCATCAACGTAACAACGAACAGCTGTTCGTAGTTGCTATTCGCAGGGAAACGCCACTTCAGTAAAATGAACAATATTAATTAAATTAATTTAAGTAAGATATAAAGATAATAAAAAGTTAATCGTGAATGTTTATATTTTTATTAACACATTTACTTTTAAAAATCTTACTAAAATTAACAAAAAACTACATTCCTTCATAATGGTGTTCACCGTAGTTGTGTTCGCAGTGAATGGCAAACGCGCATTTGTTATTGTTGGTTATCATTTTGCATTCGAACGAGTTCAAAGTTCTTGAATTTGTAAAATGAAAGTGCAAGATCTGGATAAATGTGCTCCCAGCAGTGACTGGAATGTGCTCTACTGGGTGTTGGGGACCATCCTGATGCCAGTGGCTCTTCCCTTGGCACTGATCAATATATGGCAGCGATTCCGGGCCCAGAAATACCGTAATCAATTGCCCGGCAAGGTAATGATTGGTTTATGACAGATTTTAATCACCGTTTAATTATGTAAACTATTACCAAGGTGGTGCTTATTACTGGCGCTAGTTCCGGACTAGGTGAATCTTTGGCCCATGTCTTCTACCGAGCTGGATGCAAGGTGATTTTGGCAGCACGCCGCACTCAGGAATTGGAGCGGGTTAAAAAGGACCTCTTGGCATTAGATGTGGTAATGTATTGGAAAACTTTTACTCTCATTTTATTAACTACTTACATTTTTTAAGGATCCCGCTTATCCACCCACTGTGCTGACACTCGATCTTGCTGAACTTAATTCCATTCCAGAGTTTGTCACTCGGGTATTGTCTGTTTATAACCAAGTAGACATTCTTATAAACAACGGTGGAATCAGTGTCCGAGCAGATGTTGCCTCCACCGCCGTGGATGTGGATCTTAAAGTGATGGTGGTCAACTATTTTGGGAGTGTTGCCCTAACCAAAGGTGGGTTATTTTTATTGACTTTGTGATTAGTTAATCTAGTCTCTTTCATTTGCAGCCCTCCTTCCTTCGATGGTAAAACGTGGAAGTGGTCACATCTGCTTTATTAGTTCGGTCCAGGGAAAATTCGCCATTCCCCAGAGAGCTGCTTATTCCGCCTCGAAGCATGCCCTGCAAGCTTTTGCCGATTCCCTCCGTGCCGAGGTGGCCAACAAGAATATAAACGTGTCTTGTGTTAGCCCTGGCTATATACGCACCCAGCTTTCATTGAATGCTCTTACAGGCTCTGGCAGCAGTTATGGAAGTTAGTGGATTGAGATATCTTGTTACGATTTTTAATTATTTGTGTCCTTTTAGAAATGGATGAAACCACAGCTAAGGGAATGTCGCCAGAAAAACTGGCGGAACGGATTCTGCAATGCATTCTCCGCAAGGAGCCGGACATCATTGTAAGCGATGTTCAAGCAAAGATTGCTTATTACCTGCGACACCTGTGCCCCACCTTGTACTTTTGGATAATGTCCAAAAGAGCATTAAAACTTGAGAGGGCTGAAAAGAAATCCGATTAGAGTAATGAGGGTTACGTCGAGCGAACTTAAGTATTAGTTTCGTTTTTATTGTTAATTGAATTTTGCTTAAAATGAGGAAATTATAAAGTATCGCGTATGTGTGTCTGTGTCGGGTTTACAAATTAGTTACACTCGTGTTATTGCCTAACGATAAGATTAATAAATTAAATATTGTAGTAATCGTAACATAAATAAACTGAAATGTCACACATGTGCTTGTTGTTCTCTAATGTATTACACATTGTTAATTATTGATTTGAATTGAGTTTTAAAATATTAATCGTAATGTATACTAATATTCACTTCTTTGCTCTTCGGTTTTTGTTTTGTTCGTTTTACTTCGTTTCTCTCCGATTTATTAATTGACAAAATTACATATACTTTTAGCGGGTTTTTGGATGGGTTAAGTGGATATGGACATCATTAAAAACTGGCCATTATCTAGGGGTATGAAATGTTTTTGATTTTGGAAGTTTGATCGGGATACGTACGGGTCTTTAATTAGTTTAGCTAAATTATAAAAATAGCATTAATCCATCTTGTGAAAAGTATAAAAATTAATTACAATTGAGGTACACAATACACATACAGATTTAAAAATCGGTTGCAGTTTACAATTATATTTATATTTATGTATATTTAGATTAAAATCAATCGGTTTCTTATGTACATTACACAAAAATTGTTCATTTCGCGCTAAATAGTCTTTTTTTCACGCTCAAAATATACTAGCCGCTTAGACGATAATCGTTTGCATTGAATTATATACAGTACACAAAAGTTGGCAATTTTAAAAATCGTTTTCTCTTTTAACCGTTTTGTGTGTGTGTTTTTTATTTGGTAAATTTTAACGCCTTGACTTGCCTTTGTATAGTCTCGAATGGGAACGGTCGAGACGGTGTAGAAACTAAACTTCGATTCAATTTCGTGTTTATCCTTAAATTCTGTTTTTAAGTTTAAGCATTTCAAAGCGATTGTCGCGTACTCGTTTAACTACTTCCTTAATCCTTCATCCATAATCCATTATCCATTTCTGCACTGGCCTGCCTACGCGTTAACTGTTTGTCCTTTCGTAAGTTTTCTGATTTTTTTGGGTCGGTTGTCGGTTTCTTGAGCGGAGCTTATGTATTACCTATTAATGCTTTTATGTTATGTTGTATGTTGTATATTTCACAAAAATATACCCAAATGCTCATAAATTGCAATGGTATTGCACGCCCCATAAGGTTTTATGTATAAATTTTCATGATACGCCTTGCTTTCCTACACATTCATATAGCTACAAATATCAATCATTATCTTAGCCTACAGATCGTTATTTTTGTCGGGTGTTGGTGTACATATAACTCGAAAGCCGCTTGCTCTGTGATTCGTTACGGAATGTGCCTATATTTATAAACTATTCATGAATGTTGATAGTGTCATATTTTCGCATTGCTCTAGCTCGGTATTGCATATAAAAACTATTTTCATTTGATATCCTATATACACTACAGCTACGATATTGCAGGCCCTGGTGTATTTATGTATCTATGGAATGGGTGCAGGTGCTCCTGGAATGGGGTCAACTGGTGGCTGTGTCTCTAAATCTCTATGTGGCTTTACTGGGGCATTCTCTAAAACCTATGTACTTTCGATGCACGACGCTTTTGATTTATTGACAGTTATCGTTGGTTATCTTTGTATCTATCCCGTACTTGCAATATTTCCCGGCCTCCCCCACTTTTTTGTTGTCGCTATTCTCTACTTTTAGGTCTATACCAACCTCTCTTCCTCTCTAAACGTTTCTTACTTTAGTTTTGATCTTGAGAAAATATGCAAAGGAGTTTTGAAATGCTCTCGGCTAATATTTTATGTCTTTAGTCGTTTACTAAAATAGCACCTTGTATTGTTCTGTGTGTCTTCAAAGTTCAGATGTGTAGTGTTCGTTGCTTGAAACATGAAGAGGCAAACTCAACAATATAATTAAGATTCGATTGATAGTAGGTACTTAATATTTTCAGTAATACTGTTTAGAAATCATCATAGTAGATGTGGATACAACATAGCAGTTGAACTGAGAAACGTTTCTCTATTCCGAAAATGTTCTTTCAAAAGGTATTTCAGGAGAAGGTTATTCAATTTGCCTAAATTAGTTTGCAATTGAAATAGGATATCTGAACCACCGAAAGTTTCCTTTTTCTGATACTCTTACTAGTACAGTGGAAGTTGAATAAAAATAATATAGCTAGGAATCAGGAACAGTAATGTATAATATATAAAGCCTCTGGTAGATAAGGAATCTGTCCAATATTTTAGAGCTATGGAATCAAGGCAAAAACTTTCACTATTGTCGATTTGAATATCTACTATACGATGTTAAAATTTTTAATTTCCACTAAACCAGTTTAAGCTCAGAAATAGGAAACTGGGGGTGGATGGGGGTCTACACAATACAATACAACAGTAAACAGTAGAAGGTACAAAGTGCGGTGAGTGCGGCTGGCGGTTTGGATTGCGGTGGCTTCAGTGGGTGAGTGGGTGAGCTGGCAAGTGGGTAAGCGGATGATTGGATGAGCCAGTGATGCATTCGAGGTGGTGCGAGCCTTGGTCGGATTTGGGACGCGAGGATGGCATGGGTGAGTGTCTTTTGTGTGTGTGGTTACGTGTGTGGGCGTGGTATTTCACATATTCAGCAGAAACGGCAAGTTTAAGGCAGTGTAAAGTACACATATATATAATGTATGTACAAATACATATGTATATGTATGCAAGTAAACCTATGCGACAATTTGTATAACTAACATTAAGACTTATCACTTTCACTTGGTTGGTTTTGAAAACTGGAACTGCATCTTCGTTATCGCCGCCCTTAGCTAACTAGGTTCTCCACATCGGAAATGGCCACCTCTAGATCCGAAGGCAGTTCGTTGTTCTCTGTTGATGGTGCTGCAGATGCTGCTACTGCGGCTGCGGCTGCTCCGCCTGATCTTCCTGTTGCTGATGCTGTTGGTGCTCCTGGGCGTGCCCGGAAATTGTGAAGACTTCTCCTCATTGGTTGTGCAGCTGGTTGACGTTGCATGGCGCTCGTCGAGGCGGATTGCTGCAATGCCACTCCGGCGTTTACTCCTGGCGTGTTCGAGGAGCTGCTGGTGGCCGTGCTGCTGGAAGATTGGCGCGAAAAACTAGGCGGAGCCCCTGGGTTAGTGGTGTTACCATTTCCTCCCCCTAAACTGGCTCTTGGAATGTTGCTGAAGCTGTTCCGTGAGCTTCTTGTCGGAGGGACTGGCGCGGCTTTGGAACTGGAAGCGCTACTATCCCTTCGAAGATTGGCATTAGAAGAGGAGCGTTTCTGGGGTGATGCCGCCGCAGGTGTTGGAGGGTCTTTCCCGCTTCTAGCTGCTCCACTGCCGTTGGCTTTCAGATTGAGACTACTGCGCTTTTTGGTTTTCGCCAGATTTTGACTTAGATTGATCAGGTTCTGGGTGCTGCCAAAGTTTCTCGTGAGATTCACGGATCCACTAGCCTTGCTGCTACTTCGACGCGGAGCCGCCGCAAAGGGGTTGTGAGCTGAGAGGGAGTTGGATCGCCGGTAGGAGCTGCGCTGAGCAGGAACTGGTACCGCTGGGGGAGCTGCCTCCAAACTGCCTCTATTTTGGCTACTGGGCGCCACCTTGCTGCTGCTGCTGGGCTTCGAGTTCGAAGTGGAAGCTGAAGCCTCTGCCTGCATGTCCACATTCTCATAGCAGTGCTCCATCGAGCGCGGAGGCGTGGGTGGTTTTAAGGTCTCGTAGTTGGGCTCGTTGAGGGTGAGGATCTGGTTGTCGTCTTCCGCCTCGTTGCAGAGCAACAGGGCGCTCCTCTTGGCTCGCAGAGAAATATCCTTTGAGGTGGACGGCCCTGCTGGTCGGGTACTCGCCTTCTGGTTTCGCTTTGGACGACCGCCAACCACGTGGGTTTTAACTTTCGGTTTCTTGGACAATTTCAATGAAAACTTGAACGGTGGTTTGTAGACCACCTGCAGCTTAACCTTCTCGTTGGATAGATTTCCCATGGACTTGGTTTTCTGGGGAGTCTTCTGCACCAATCTCTCCGGCGTCGATTGCGATTTGCTCATAACTTTGCGAACTCGGGAGCTGTGCTCGATATGGGACAAGGGCTGCGCCACTATGGGCGACTCCAGTAGCCACTTTTGAACCTTGCCGAAGGTGTTGGTGTGGTTGTTGGTCGTGGAGAGATTAGAGGCGTCGTCCCCATTGTTGTTGCGGTGTGAGTAGTCTATAATTTCCTTCATGTGCTTGCCCAGTTTCTTGTTGGATTTTTTCGGCTCTTCCTCGAGGGATTTCTTCTTGGCTATTGCCTGGGACCGTGTTGACTTCTTTGGCTCCGCAGTGGAACTGATTTTATTGGCTCCCCGAGAAGCAATTCCAGCAGTTGCAGAGGCCCCTGTCACAGCTCCTATTCCAGCTCCGGCTCCTGGTTTCTTGCTACGTTCTCCACGCACCTTCTTCTTGAATGGTACCTTGGTCCTCACGGCTGTGTGAACTATGACTCCATTGTTGTTTTCTGGAAGTCGCACTGTCTCCGTAGTGGCACTGTGGATAATTGTCACAGATTTAAGCTTCAGATTCGAGCGTTTCGCCAGCAGCTTTGTGCTCAGAGCCTGTTGAAAAATAAGGAAAGTATTAGATGTGAAACTTTATAGAAAACAAGGATATTTTTTCAACAATTTTTCCAACAACTAATGAGACTATCAACTCCTAATCACAATTAATCTAAATAGTACGTTGTCCATGACTCTTTTTCTAATTTGACTCCAAAATAGCCCTCTGGAGGCAACTGTAAGATGAGATTTTTGGATCTAACTATCATGGATTCTACAGGTTTTTAATGGGCACTTGAATTCTGAGTGCTCACCCAAGGTCTGAGCCTGTGCCTCAGCTTTGGCTTCGACCTGATCTCTCAACATTTGCGTGATAAGGCGAATTAACTTATCAAATCAAAAGGAAATTAAATATTTCAAAATATTCACAAGAATTTCCCTCTTAGTTGGGATACTTACCATAAGCATAATGACTCCGATGGCCGCCAGTGCTACTGTGTACCAGTTCTCCTGCATCCACTTCTTGAAAGTGGCGATACTCTCCTCGGAAAGCAAAAGCTTACGCAGAGTCGCCAGAGGACCCGAGGGATCCACTTCGCGGCACTTCTGAAAGACATCGCAGTACCTGAAAAGGAATAGAAACGAATTAGAAAATAAAGAGAATCCCAGAAAGGCATTACGAACCCATTGTAATCATTGCAGGGAGTTCCCGGCTTGGAGTACATATCAGGCACATCGAAGGGAGCTTCATTCCACTCGAAAGAACTCCGGCACGGATTATCTTCGCCCGGCAGCTTGCAGCACAGCTCACAGGATTTGATGCGATCGTCTTGTGGTCCGGGGATGCACTGACAAGATTCCAAGCCGTAAGCCAGACAGATGCTGCCCGTGCAGTCGCCCATGTAGCAAACGAATTCCTTGTTGCAAATCGTCTTATTGGGCTTGTTAACAGACGGAGGGCATTGGGGAACTCGGCCATCGCAGAAGGAAGGATCCCGACAGCCGTTGTCATCCCGACACTTGTCGCCAAACTTCAGCTTGCAGTCAGTTGTGCAGCAAGGTCCTTGGGAAGGACTGCACCGGGCATGGGGAGTCAACGTGCAGGGGGTTTCGTCCAGCCTAGGCTGACGCGACATGGGAAAACAGCAGGAGTCCTTACAGTCTTCCTCCCAGCCACAGTCGCACTGCTCCCCCGGCTCCACCACTCCATTGCCACAAATCGAGGACTGCGGTTCGGTGAAGCAACCCTTCATCGACCTGGCCTTGGCGTTTAGCACAGGTTCTATGGACTTCAAGGAGCAGGTACTGAATTTGTTGTTGTTCTTCTTGTCACCGGAGGTCGCACGGGCGAACATAATGAAGTTTCCGTCTTCGCCACCAGGTGTACACTGCTCAGGATCGTGCTAAACCAAAAGAAAAAGGATGAAGATTTGTTCCTTTAATTATTCCTTAATCCACTTACCGGTGATCCAAAATTATGGCCTATTTCGTGGGCCAGGGTCACGTGGGAAACGGCAGGCGGCACATGCTTGCCATAGTTTAGCAATGTGACTATTCCTGTGTTTAGGGATTTCAGGGATCCCCGGTAATGCCCATTTTTCTCGCACACTCCACCAGCGTTCTTCAGGTCACCGGTCCAGGCCAGGCCCAAGGTACCCATCTCAAAGTCCCGGTATGTAAACATATAGGCCAGGCAAAAGGCATCGTAATCCTCCTCCGAAAACAGTTCCAGGAACTTTTCCACGCCATAGTTGCCGGGAAACCGATAGCTGGGATCCTTCATGGCGTTCATGTTGTGCACTTTGATGCGCTTAATCATGAAGGTGATGTTGTCCGGCTTCCCATCGTTATTAAAGTCGGTGTTCCGGTAAATGGAATTCGCCCGCTGCACATGGCGCGTTATGGCCTCAATGGATGCCTCATCCGAACCCATTTTCTGGAAGAATGTGTGATCCGCCTGTAAATATAGCATACAAGTGGTCTTCCGGTCGTAGAGCAGCCTTGGCGAACTGTGAATATCATCTCCCCGACCGCTCAGCAGATTGGTCATGAGCATGGTGTTGAAGCTCGGATTGTGCGGGTTGGGGGCGAATATAATCTCCGGATTGTAGTTATTCACTATGATGTTCGGCTTCTTGGTAGCTCCGTTCTTGGTGATGATTTCAACGTGCGTCTTATGGCTGGGCCGATCGTTGCCATTGTTGTTGTTTCCCAGGAAGAGCGTTGTCCAGTTGGCGTTGAAGAAGTTGCTGGGCAGGTTCCCACTGCTTCCATTGTTATTGGGCTCCTCGTATGGCGTTCCAAATTCCGGCTCGATGGGCCGATTGTATGTGCTCACAATGATGTTCTTGTGCTTTGTATACAACTTTCGCACATTGTTATTGTTATTGTTGTTGTTGTTATTGTTATTATTATTGCTGTTGGTATTATAGCTGCGACTGCCCTCGCCGACATTGGAGGGATTGTAGTTATTTACAAGTATATTGCGGTTCGACGTGGGCTTCGTCAGCGTGGCCAGAAAACTCTCCGTACTGCGCCCTGTGCTCCTGGTCGTGGATGTAGTCGGGTGCTTTCTCGGCGGCGATTCCTCGCTCTTGTCCTCCTCGGAGGCCAGTACGCGGAAGTCGTCATTATAGGGCACCTCCAAATCCAATGGCAGGGGCGGATTGCGATTATACGTGGGTGCCGGACCATCTGACATGGCCAACTAGAAGTAAAAGGTTTATTGTGAAGGTTTGTTTATTTATTTTAATTAATTGAACTCACCTCCTCTGGCAGCCATCGCTTTTTTCTCAGCTTTTCACTGGCGCAGTGCGTCTTCGCAGGCGTCGCGGAACTAACACCTCCGCCAGTGAACTGCTCCTTCTGCATATTTACATCACTTAACTTATAGACTATGCTGTGGACTCCACTCTCGGCCAGCTGCTGTGAGTAACGCTGCGCTGGCTCGATGTAATAGTGCTCCGCCTGGGTCTCTATCGTCCCATCCAGGAGGTTATCGCTGGTCAGAATGGCCTGCACGTGAGCTGCCTCGTCATCCTCCAGGCTGCCCGTGTATATCCGCGAGACATCGTAGTCGATGGGACCGAGAGTGTTCTCGATCTCGACATCGTGGGCGAACACCGAATGAGGCTGTTGACGCAGCACAAGGCGAAAATCTCTGCGGGTGGGATAACAAACAAACATTCAATTAAGTGGTCTACCTGCTGTGGTGGGGGCACTGCACTTACCTGTCGTGGGCGGAGAAATTCAAGCGAATGGTGTGAGCCAGTCCACTCGATGTGCTGGGGTCCACTTGGCGCTTCTTCCGGTAGCGAGCCTGTTCCAGATGTCGGATTTGTGCTGCCTGCAGCACCTCGCGATCGAAGTTCGCCGCCTCCCAATGCTTGATGTAGGGGGTTAGCTTGTGGGTGTAGCCTGAAAACAAAGGATGATTTAGTGGAGATGCCAGAAAGCTTTTAAACTTTAAAATAATTTAAGGTTTAATGGCTCTTGAATAACAATTTTTTTTGATGATATGTGAGTATAATATATTGAGCTGTAGATTTTTTAAAAATAGTTTTTAAGAAAGGTTTGAATATTTGAGAAAGGTTTGAGACAGTATATTGGGTACAGGCAGAGTTTTATTCTATTTTTTAGGGTTTAGTTTCTAAAAAAGGAGAAATTAAAGGAGGGGTAATTAAAAAAATCATGATGTGCCATTTTACATTGCAAAGTTCCGTTACAATTAAGTATTAATTAGATAATTTATTTATGGCATCCTGGATGCTAACTACTAACCTGGCAACTTCAGCGGCGTGGGAATGGCCAGCAGCTCGCCGGGCAGCCAGAGGAGCCACAGGACCCCCAGGAGCGGAAGCCCCAGGAGCAGCCAGCTCATCGGGGGGCTGGCTTGTGGTTTGGCGCTGTGTGTATGATTGTGATTGTGGTGACCCAACTACTGGCAGGTTGTGGTTTCCAGGCGCAACTGCATCACATCATTGGCTGTTGGCTGGGTTGGAGTTGCGGCGGGGTTGCACGGCTCCAATGTGTGACATCTCTCGACGAGCTGGGTTGGAAGAATGAAGCGGAGAGAATACGGTTATGATCATCTGGATCGCGAGATGATTGCATTAACGGTCGCCGCACAAAGAAATTGCATTGCGTATACGCCCGGGCGGCAAGTGGCTTTCACCTTTTACGTGAAATCTTTTGTTCGTCTCGAAATTTTTTAGCGATATTTTCTGTATTTTTTTTTTTGCGTCTTTTTGCATAAATGGCAAAAGCAACAAACGGCAGTCAGAAAGAAGAAGAGCGTCACAGCATCTCATTAGCACTTGGCTCACACACACAGACACACAAACACATCGCATAACATGCACAGGTATCAGTGCGCCCGTGAAATACTGTTATTTGTAGGCCTCTCTTTGGTATCTCGGCCTCTCTTTTCGTGCTCTTTGTCACTTTGATGGCCAATGAAATTAAATGCATTCTTTAGTTGGCCATTGACAACCGTTTAATTGGATAATTATTGTTTTTGCTGTGCGTGCAAACTGTATATTTGTGCCGTTGTGTGAGTGTGTGTGCTTGGTTGTGCCTGTATTCTGGCTACCTGAGCTTTGCTTTGGGCCAAAGCAACCAACAAAAAAAAACAACGCTCTGCTCTGCTCTACTCGCTGCTCGCTGTTGTTGTTGCGCTGGTCGAAAACCAAAATAAGATACACGTAAAATTCAATTAGCCACAAATTGTTGCACTTTTAGCCAAATCCAATTTGTGGGCTTGAATTTGTTTCCAAACCAAATATTGAGCAGCAACACAACACCAGCGAATCAGCCGACCTCCGCTAATGGCGTAAATGGTATAAGCCAGTCCCAAGTATTTTTTTTCCTCTACGCTTTTCGTGGTGTTGTTGCCACGGCCTAAAACCTGTTCTTCAGCTTAATCATCCAGGCTTTGGAAACCAGCGACTATCCCGTGAAATGAATACTTCTATTTACGGATACTTTTGATTTATTTCACTCACTTTTCACAACCACTGAAACACTGGCATCCCCGATTCCTTTTCGTTTCGATTTAAACAACTTTTTTCGTGTTTTTCGCCACCCACCGTTGGCCAAGTACATATACAGCCGGTGTGGCCAAATTCTGTTTTGGCCGTTAAAATATACCGTTTAACCTGTAGAGACATACCAAATATTCGAAGATGGTACAAAGGGAGTGAATAGTTCAAAGATAACAAAATTCTAACCAAATAAGTATTTTAAATATGTTTTTATTTAAAAGTGTAACAATTTTATTTAATCTTAAGCGTTTTTGAGCGCTACTTTAATTAGTGACTGTTGCTTCTTGATGTTTTCTTTCAATTTATTTGCATTTGCCTCTAGCTTGTCGTAGCAGTCCTTGAGCTGATTTCTTTGCGACTCCAGGTTCTCCTCCGTCTCGGCCATTTTCTTAACCTTTCGATCATATTCGTCAAAAACCCGCCACCATGTCTGGATGCTTAAATTCTCAGGCTCCGTCATGAGAGCGTGCTCCAAGTCCACGTTGTCACTGGTGCTGCCTACAGTTGGTTTATTGATTTCGAATGTTTCCAAGTCCTCCAACATCTCCTCTAAACTAGGGGCCACGGGTGGAGGATCTACTTTTGGCTTTGATTTTCTGAACATTGTTATTAAATTCCTAAAAATATAACAAAAACATGAAACGTCACCAGCGTGGAAAATAGAGTTTCTCAAGCAATTACCTCCGCAAACACAACGATTTTGATGTCTCTAGTCCTAGGGGATGCTCTACTGGTTTGTTAAGGATACAAACTTAGTTTTAAAAGGGAAATTGTGTATATTCAAGCAATTGTTTACAAACAAAAATTGGAAATAAAGGTAAAAGTGTGGCCAATTTTCGAATAAAATAAATGCCAGTTCTCTTTTTCCCACAGATGGCGCTGTTATTGTATTTCCTCCTTATACACATCTCTAGTTTGCGCGCTATTATTGTTTGCTCTTTTAGTGGATTGTTAATATTTAATTGATAATGGCACAAAAAGACGAGCTTAGTCAAGGAGCCAAGCAGAAATTTGTGGAGGCAGCTGCGCGGGCAAAGAATCCCCTCGAAGCTCTCTCCTACCAAAGATACAAGGCGCCTTCTGGGGAAGAGTTCAAACTGTTCTGCCGGACGAAGAGTGATGCGGATCCAAAGATGCTAAAATGGGCCTTCAAGTTGGCCGAAATCAATGTGGGGCCCTTTTACAAACAGCTAAAGATGGGGTGGCAGCCAAAGATCAAGACAGCAGAGCTGAACAAAAATTGGGCCCGCTATCTGGTTGCTCAAAACGACAAAAAGGAAAATGTAGCCTACTCCATGTTTCGTTTTGATATGGATCATGGAGACTGTGTCCTGTATTGGTGAGTAATGTACTTAACTTTATTAGTTGCAATTAAACTAACCTCCATCTCATAGCTACGAAATGCATGTGGCAGCGGCATACCAAAGGAAGGGCCTGGGAAAGTTCATCATGAAAACGCTTGAGGACTGCGCCCGCCACTGGCATTTGGAGAAGGTAATGCTCACAGTCCTCAACAACAACGAGACTTCCATATCCTTTTACAAGCAACTTGGCTATGGCAAGGACGAAATCTCCCCAGACGTCTTGGAGGAAGCTGACTATCAAATCTTTAGCAAATCCATGCTAAGTTGAGTCTTCATTGGACTGTATACATTATAAGACATAAATAGTAATTATAACAAGAATGCATTTATTTCAACAAATTGGCCTGAGTCTCCAAGTAGGTAGCCATGCGAATGTCCTGGGAACTGAGGCCACCCACATCGTGGGTGGACAGTGTCACTTCCACCTTGTTGTAGCAGTTGAACCACTCGGGATGGTGGTTGATTTTTTCCGCCAGCAGAGCCACTCCGGTCATGAAGCTGAAAGCCTGGTTAAAGTCTTTCAGGACGAACTGTTTGAAAATGGCATCGCGCCCCTCGACCAAGGTCCAGCCGGCGTCCAAAAGGGGCTGCAGCTTTTCAGCCCGTTCCTGTTCATTTAGGCGTACCTGTGAACGGTTTTGATTAGTCTCACAATAATATTTAATTAGGTTTAGATTATTTTCACTTAATTTAGAATGTGTTTCAAAGAGTACCTTCATATGTGTATATAAAACCCCCCGCGAGACCTAATCTATACGCATAAGACCTTGGGGTCAAAGCGATAAGTCTAAGCCCCTCTCGATTTCGCCAGAATATTGCCTTGATCTGTAATTCACTTTTTTTTTGGTTTCACTTACCACCATTTTGCGTTTTTTCGATGTGGTTGTTGTGGTTTGTGTTTTTATATGGGAGCTATAGAATCTCCGTAGATTTATGCTGCCACCACCAGTTGCTGCTGCTCTCGCTGCTGGCGTATACAGAAATGAGATTTTTGAACTGCTGCGCGTAAAATTAAAGCTCAGTTCGCTTCTCAAACGGCTCCTCTCCCCCGCGGACCCACCGTCAGCCAACCCTGTTGTTGCTGCAATGCCATGAGATAAAGCGGGTTTGAGGCGGCTGGCAAGTAGATTTGCAACTTTCTGAAAGTTCGGCTTAATCACATTCTGAGTGTGTTTAGTTGTAATTAACATTTTCTTGAATAAATAAAACCCGTTTGAGATTTGTTTTTGTTGCAGTCGGCTTGAACAGCTGATTTGTTGGGGCCCGATAACGTTTAGTGTTGTAAAATGAAATGTTGTGTTTAGAATACATTTTTGAAAATCATAGCCGTTACAGATACTGTTTCCGTTACTTTTAAAATTAGATTTAAAAAGTAATTTTAAATAAATTTAAAATTTAATTAATTCTTTATTGATTTTCTTCTTTTTCTTTACACGCTTCCGTACAGCATTCGTTACCCTTTCGTCCTGTTATACTTTCAGAGACTGTGAACATCATAAAGAAGCTAAAAATTTGAAAGGCATCTGGTCCTGACGGATTAACTAACCGTATGGAGAAGTCGCTTTCTTTTCGTGCGATCCTGTTCCTTGCCCAGCTCTTCAATGCTGCTTTTAGGATTGGGAATCTCCATGGAAGAAGGCTAATGTCTCCATGATTCACAAAATGGGCAAGCCGCCAGCAGACCTCAACAGCTTTATCGGGAGACGGTGGTCATCGGCTCCTGTATAGCCTAAAAGGACTTCTCCACCCCTGTTTTAAAATGTCGGCAGCTTCCTTTGTGATAGGACCTTTTCCGTGGTGCAGGATGGAACAACCTCGATTATCAAAAAATTTGAGAATCGGGCCTGCCGATGGAACCCCGTAAAATGTGCAGTGGTTTCTGTTAACCCTGAGAAGTGTGCTGTGGTGACATAAACTCTTCGTATAAGAACTTTCCTCCACGGAGAGTTAATCCCACAAGCGTGCGATCACAAATACCTGGGCAAACATACCTGTTGTGGCCAGTGTGAAAGACAAATTGTGACGCCCATATTGGCTAGTTAAAGATTCTAGCAAATTGTTTCTGGCCCAATTCTGGATATATGGACTGATAATATACGGTGTAGCTTCTGAAACAAATTTAAACAAGGTTCGAGAGTTATAACAAGTACCTTAACTTTGATTTGGGTGCAAAATAGTATATCCGAACAAAGAGCTTGGCGTCCCTTTTGTAGGTGACATTATTATATAGAATATATATATATAGAAATGGCAGAAGGATACAGTCCCACAAAGCGGCTCCTTAAGCGGTGGACTGGAGAATATAACACACTTTTTTTTTCTAAATAATTTTATTATGGACTACATTTTACACCGGATCGGTTGTGTCCAGCTTCTTTATCCCTAAATTCACAACGTAGAATTTAGAAAATTTTATTTTGTTCTTTTTATGATGATAAATAAAGAATCTGAAAAGCTACAGCTTATTTTCAAGATGAATATATTGGTAACGCTAGGGATCAAAGGTTTTTAAATCAAGGTTTAAAAAAAAGTTGAGCATTAGAAAGCTATAATTGACATATAGTTGAATATATTTAAATGTATGTACATATCAAGTTTAAAAATATTATGAGTCATTATTCAGTTGGTAGTTCAAGATTTTTTCTCTATAGCATTGTATAATCCATTTTTCTGGAATTCCTTTATTCTTCTTCACTTGTGCACCATATTTTCGCTTTCAACATTGCCGTAGTAATCGTAGTCCGCACTGGCGGTTGAGGTTGCCAGTTTGGGCAGTGGATCTGCAGTGGTGCGGGGAAGCTCCATTGCTGGTGCAGCTGTTGGCTCTGGAGTCACTGTGGTGGTCTTGCCCCAACGCAGGCTATAGCGACTGCGAATGAAAGTGGGCTTGGTGACCACATCGCCCAAAACTACAGAAGAGTGGTAATCATGAATAGGAACCCCTTCTATAAGTCCCGGATAGTTGCTTACCCAAGCCAAAGATGCAAAAGGATACGATCAACAGGAATATCTTCATACTGCTTTGCGCATTGGATGAAAACTGCAAATTTTCATTCGAAACCTTCTGCATTTATAGTCTTGAAAGGGCAGAGATAATGCAATTCCCCAAACTCCGTTGAAAGCGAAAACATTCCGTAGTTCCCGCGGGAACTGGGAACCAAGCCAAGTTCATTCACCGCTTTGGCGATTTTTTATTTATTTATTTTAAACGTTATCTCTGAATGAACTCTTACTTAGCGTTAAGGGTTAACTGACATTGTACAATGCATCGAATCGATATTAAGCTTAAGCGAAATGGTAATAAATACGTGTGTGGATCTGGGTGCCCGGCTTTATCCGGAATTATTCAGTTTTCCGGATCCGCCGGTCGTGGACGCTTCGGCCCCGATGGTATCGGTGGCGGTGGGACATCCGGAACTGCACTGTTTTTGCTCGCTGATCCGTTGCGAATGTCCTCGAAACTGGGCTTCACTGGCTCCAGGTTATCCAATGGAAGGGGCTGGATCTCTGGCTCTTGCTCCTGCATTGGCGGCGTGGCGGTTGGAGCATTTGGTGTAGCCTCCCTAGTGGGGTAACCCTGGGTGGGATAGTAGTCGTAGGGCGGCAGGTAGTTCTGGCGAATATAACCCGCTTGGTCGTAGATCACAGGATATTGGCTGTAGGGGTAGGGAGGCAGGTGAGTGGGTTGGCCTCTGTACTGGGATGGCAGGGGAATCAGCACGGGGGGAAGACCCTGCTCGTTCAAAGGCAGTGGCATCTGTTCCTTGGACATCTCCTTGGGCTCTAGGGAGGCAGGAGCTTCCTGGGGAGGTTGCTCCATAGGTTGTTGGGGCTCATACGGAGCAAATCCAGCAGGGAATTGAGTGGCCGAGGGAAGGGGGTAGGGTAACTAAAAAATAATAATTTTAATATTTGAATTAAATGTATCTTTAGTTAAACTCACTCTCTCATTTGGGGACAATCCAGGCACAATCGGTTGACCGAATCTCACCAAAGGTGGACTGTAGTAACCGAAAGGATTGTACGGTCCGAATGGCGCATATCCTGGCTCATGGATAGTTGGCTGGATGACGGGATACGCCCGGCTGGAGGTCAAGTTCTCGTCCGTGGTGATCAGGGCGTTGTAGACCTTGGGCTTTTTCCTCAAACGACGGGCGGCGTGCGAAGTGCCCGCCCACAAAACCAATCCCAGCAAAAGAACCAGAACCGTGCGCTGAAAGAATCCAAACTGTAGCTGGGGCTTGTATTTATATTTCCCATTGACAGCTGTCCCTGGCTTTTTGTCACTGCGATCTCTTGACGCCACACAATCAATGAAAAATCATAATCTGTTTAATTGATCGCCATATCGACAATCAATCAATGAATTGTTTGGACTACGCACAATTGTGTTTGCTGTTTGACGGAAGTTGGGAATTCTACTAACTGGCTAGGTGGCTGGCTAGCTGTCTCTACAGGGAAGCCGAGGCTCGTTAGTAATGGAAGCTTTAATCGACTCCCAGCCAGAAGAAATCCACGACTTTCAAATGTATCAGTACCCATGTCTGCCACTAGCACCCCGGTGGCTGCAGCCGGTGGAACAATCAACACATGTCAGCCTTTGTTGCGAATTCTCTACACTTCATTAGTTTTGAATTGAAATGTAGATTGTTCCTTTAATTGGATTATGGGGAGTCGATCGAACCGGACGGGGGAACAATCTTACACTTTACAAAACAAAAAAAAAAGAAGAATGAATTAATTTTTCAAGCTTGGGTTTTAAAAATAACTCATTTTTCCTTAAACTAGTCCCTTTTTTTGTACACCGAAGACAATTATATACCATCTTATTAGATTTAATAATGGGTTTTTTTTTTCAGTGAATGGATTCTACTAATGTCGAGGCAAAGGCCTTTTCCTTAGAGATAGACAGAGAGATGGAGTGTAGGTCCGGTTAGACGAGTTGCCCATTGGCATGACTTGGTACTGGAGCATGGAAATGCAGTGGAGCGATCTGCGGAACTGTGACCGCGTTTCTGATCTTGATCCCCTCCCAGAGTGCAGCACACTCTAATTGCCGCTCTCGGATTACCCAGACAACTGGGCTGGGCTGGGCTTAGATCTCTTATTGTTGTTTACTGGACTCGGGCTGACTGGCAATTTGCCTTGCTTTCCATGCATTTCACTTTGACTTTCCTCTGGCACAAGCACTGGCACTCCACCTCAAGGCCCACATCCAACTCTCCACCCACACAATCTCTTCGGTTCAGGGGAGCAATTTTCAACGCTTTTCCTTTTCTAGTTTCATTTTCGATTTCGTCGAGGCATCTGGCCGGCCGCAGTGAAATTAAATCGAATCGAATTGAGTGGAATCAACAGACAATAATCGTAATGATCGCATCGAATCGGATCGAGCTTGATGAAGTCCGGAGTGCTGCACTTCACTCAACGAAATTGGGCCATCTCGAGTGCCATTGTAATGCCCGTGTTAAAAGTGATAGTTTAAAATGGTTCAATTGGTTGTCTGGTTGTCTGATCTCTTGACTTGGCCATGGGTGTTTCCATAGGCTTGCCAAGAAATCAAGAGCAACTCGGGGTGGGTGGTCCAAGTGGATATGGATTGCTCAGCGGAAGGTGTCAATGAAATTGTATTGTTTATTTTGTAGGAAGCTATAGTGTATTGACCTGGGAACGTCGGTACCTAGTATCTAGTCACTTAGTATCTGTGATTGAGTGCCCTAGTCACATTTTTCAAATAGCCTATAAGTTACCTGTTTAATTACAATAATTGTTGCAGTTAAACTGGCTTACTTATCACACAAAATGCTAAGAGTAAAAGATCAGAAACAACAAGTAACTTTTCTTAGGTTTGCTAAAAATAAATTATAAGTAATGAACTAAACACATAACCTTTGTAACCTTGTACTAAGCTACTAGCTTGGCTTAAATAGCCGCAGTTCCAGCCATCAAACTTCTTTCCGCAGAACCATAAGCCCCACTCCTGCCCACTCTCGACCCCGTTCGCTTTGGTTTTAGTGGCCTGCATTGCCAGCTTGGCTCGTTAGAGCCGCTGACTCAGCTCAGCCAGTCGGATTCATGGCTAAGACCAAAGACCAGCTCAAAGGCGGCGGATGACGGCCAGTGGCGTAACCTTAAACCTGAGTCTAACTCTGGACCTAGCCGACGAAAGTGAAAGTGCTGGGGGAAGTGTGGGCGCTAAGCGATCCCTTTGATCAGTGATCCATGATCGATAATATTTATTGGCGCATCGGGAACCACTTACCTTTTCCATTTGCATGTTGGCCCTGTTTTAAATTCGTGAATTAGGTATGCAGGTGATGCACTTTGGGAATTTGTCAGTCAGGAAGTTCCAGAAAAGGCCAAAAATAAATCGCACTCGATTGGAGTATAGTGTTTTCTGTTTTCAGTTTTTTTTTTAAAGTCACAATATATTTTTTTTACCGACTGACACCAAGGCACGACACGTAATGACTTTGAAAACAAGTTGCAATAAATAATATATATTATATGCAGCTCACTGCACATGCAAACTAAGAATTGCGATTGGAATCCCAAGAGCACGGACCGGAGATTGTAGATCGAAGACTGAAGACTGGAGAGCGAAGAAACGAACCCAGAAGTTGACTCTACGCGGAGGCTGCCGACGACCGACTGACTCTTTCTGCGGCTGCGCATGCGCGTTTCTTATTGGATTTTGTACAAACGCTGGGCGCACACTCCCCCGGCTACCTTTTATACCTTCGGCGGTGGTGGTGGTGCTTGTGATGGAGTTAGATGGTGGTCCCATGACAGTGGTGGCTGACGCTTTGCAAATACATAAATGTGGTGGTTTTGGTTTTGTTTTTATGGGTCTACGGGTGACAGGAACTTCTGGGAGATGGCCTAGTTTCCACTAACCTTGTAGCGGGGTGATATGATTTGTCAAATATTATAGATATTAAAATATTAGTTTAGATGGAAAAAGTTTAATAAATCTCTTATAAATATGTTTAAAGCTTATAAGAATAAATAATAATACAATTGAGTGAATTGAATAAATATTGTTTTTGTATAAACTTTTTCAATATAATTTCCATTTCTTTTCATTTAAAAAACTCCCCTAGAGTATGGACGTTTCGATTCCATTGAATTGAAAACACAATCTTAACAAAAACACAAATGGCTTTCCCATTGGAGAAGGCATTTTCATTAGCTTTTGGTTTAATTGCTTGGCGGCATTAAATGAATGGAATAAACCGGGCGAAAGTGTAGAATCGAGGCGTAGTTAAAAAAATATAAGAAAAGTAACAACTGGGCTAGAAATTAGTTCAGCTCTCGGCACTTGACTGGAAACGCAATGGACCTCAGCAATTGTCATTTTTGGATTTACATATTTAAGTTGAGTTTAATAAAAAATTGTACAAAAATTTTAGTTGTTTGGCTGATCGTACCTTTTTAAAAAAACTTTATTAACAGTATTGTTGGCATGCTTTTTTCTGCAGTCACGTTCACTGTCAGAGGTGATAAGTGCCAGGCCAATCCGATCCGGTCTCCACCCACTCTCGGCCACGGCTGCCGACTGATCTGGGGGTCAATCCAACTTTAATTTGATGATCTGCCTAGGTTGTCTATTTATTTGCTTTTCTTTTGTGGGCGGAACCTCCTGCCGGGTTTTCTTTGTTTGACTGAACTTTCGCTTTCCCTTTTTGTCTTTTCATTGGAATAATGAGTCTATGAACCCAACTCACCTATTCAGGCGTGCGTTTATTAAACATTTAAGCTTTTCAGGCTTTATAAATAATTGTTTCTAAGGAATAAAATACATATATTGGGCTTATCATTTTTATAGAACTACACATGTATGCAATAGACCGTTATATCCTTCCAGGAAAACGTGAAAAGAAGTTAGATATAGTTAAGAGAAGATATGGTGAAGAGATATAGTTATGAAGAATACATAAAAAATATATTTTAATCTAGTATGTTATTTAATTTAATTTGTAAAATATTATTTAAAAATTTCTCCAATTTGTGTTAATATTCATAAAAAAGAACAATTAATATACATATCTTTGGTTGTTAACACAGCTTAAGCTTGTTTTTCCACCAGAAAGTGTCATCTCCAAGTAGAGTTCAACTACCTTCCACCAGATGGCGCAAGTGGGGGATTAAAGAGATGCATCAAGAACAATTAGCCCAATTGAATGCATAATGTTTGCTTAAATTATTTTGTTTATTATGAACACGTTCAAAGTCACGTCATTTCACTTGATAAGACATGAATCAGTCTTGTTGGCAGCCGAGCATCTGGCGTCTGCGTCTCCCTCGCTTGTTGACCTTCGGCCTCTGATAAGGGTAATCAGGGAGACAACGGGTCAGTCAATCACACGCGAAGAGACCTTAGAAGGTTAATTCGATTCGAGTCGATGGAAACAGTCGCCTATAAATGGAAATGCCGAGCTCGACAAAAATTGCAGTAGCATCAGGTGTTTGCAAAGAAATTAACATGAAGGTTCTTATTGTTTTCCTAGTGGGCGTGGCATTTGTCCTGGCCGGCCCCCATCACGAACATGGCCACGAAGGACACTATGTGGTCAAGAGCCACGATGATCTGGTGTCCTATCGCAACGCTTGCGCCGAGAAGGTCCACGCATCAGAGGACCTGGTGGAGAAGTACAAGAAGTGGCAGTATCCTGACGATGCTGTGACCCACTGCTACCTGGCTTGTGTGTTCGAGAAGTTTGGATTCTACGACGCCGAGCACGGTTTCGATGTTCACAAGGTGCACATGCAGCTGGCCGGACCCAGCGCCCATGTGGATCACTCGGATGAGATGCACCAGAAGATCGCCCAGTGCGCCGAGTCCCACAAGGAGGGCGACTCCTGCGCCAAGGCCTACCACGCTGGCATGTGCTTCATGAACGCCAATCTTCGCCTCGTCCAGCACAGTGTCCAGGTCTAGGTTGTCTGTCTAGGTTCAGGACTTTAGTCTCCAGACCACAGCTGATCACTTGTTTGAAGTTCAAGTCCAAAATAAATATAAATTCTTGCAATATTTTAATTTTATCTTTTATAGTTTTTGGTGTTTGGGTCGTCCTAGAACCTACGTTTAGGACGAAATATTATACGTATTGTTCCTTTTCCTTCTTATAATTCTTATCCGAACAAAGAAACGATTCAAAGTACGGGGTTCTCAATATTGATATATTCAATATTCTCAATAAAAATATTGGATAATGTGAGAGTTTAAATCTATGACGTATATACTACCAACGGGGAAACTTCAAGCGACATTAATATAAATATATAAAAATTAAATTTTGATTGTTGGCATGGCATTTGATTTATTATATTATTATGTTATTTACCAGTCACAAGATTCTTTTTAATATTTATAGAATTAAAATATAAAAATTATATTTTTGGTTCTAAAGACAATTAAGCTTGATTTTTTTAACTTAAAGTGTCATCTCCAATTACAGATTCATATTTAACTTGATAAGACCTGAGTCAGTCTTGGAAACTTAGCCTCTGGTGTTTTTATTTCCCTCGCTTGTTGACCTTTGCCCTTCGATAAGGGTAATCAGGGAGACAACTGGTCAGTCAATCACACATGAAGCGCCACCTTAGAAGGTCTATAAAGGCAACTGCCGAGCTCGGCAAAAAGTGCAGTTGCATCCGTTGCTTGGAAGAGAGAATATTATGAAAGTTCTTATTGTTTTCCTACTGGGTACGGCTCATGTCCTGGCCGACGAACATGGCCACGAAGGGAACTACGTGGTTAAGAGCCACGATGATCTGGAATCCTATCGGAACGCTTGCCACGAGAAGATCCGCGCAACGGAGGACATATGGGCGAAGTACAAGAATATTGACGATGCGCTGGTCCACTGCTACTTGGCCTGTGTCTTGGAGAAGTTTGGTGTCTACGACCGCGAGCACGGCTTCGATGTGCACAAGTTGCATATGCAGCTAGCGGGACCCGGCGTCCAAGTGGATCATTCGGGTGAAATGCACCAGAAGATCGTCCAGTGCATCGAGTCCCACAAGGAGGGCGACTTCTGTACCAAGGCCTACAACGCCGGCACTTGCTTTATGAACGCCAATTTTAAACTAGTCCCAGTATAGACGTCTGTGCAGGAGTCTCCAGACAATAGTCGCTAATAAATATAATCTTTGAAATATTCAAACAAAATTCTATCTTAATTCTATCTTTAATTTTATTTAAGTTAAAACTACATACATCTATTGGTCAAAGGAGTTAAGCTTAACCTGAGTTTGGGACTAAATTCTATTTTAGTTTTTTCTTTTCTCCTTCATGTAGTCCTTAACCCAACGACCAAACTGTCCGGCCGTGGCGCATTTGTAGGCCTCAAACGCCCAATTACTGGGATCTCTTATCCTCCTCTCCTTGGAATTGCAGTAGTGGACCACCAGCATTACTTCCTCCTCTTGGTTGTGGCTAGCAAATATCTTGGCTATCCGTTTGGGGTCGTAGCCCGCCGCGTCCGTCCAGAGTCCTAGTTTTTCAACCAGACATCGTAAGATGGATGGATCGTCTTCCTGGGCATCTTGGCGGCAAGTTTCCAGATCCTCGTAAACATTCTCAGGTGTGGGCAGGGACCAAGTCGCAGCGGCCTGTACTCCGGCGATTGAAACCAGAAGCAGAAAGCTCCAGCAAAATGTTTGTAGCTTCAGTCCAGTCATTCCGTATCCGACAAATGAAAACTTATAATTGGGGCAAACACTGTGCGGCCAGACTGTTTTTATAGAATTCTCCGATTTCTGGAAACCAGTTCTAGAAGTGACATTGGCATTAACCTAGAATTCATGGAAATTGGGACTACTGGCCAGGGTAATTGCTTTTTACCAGATGTACCTGAGCCGACGTCAGTCTGACGTAATACGCCTGATGGTCTATGTATCTGGCTTATAAAGACTTTATGGGAGCTTGTGAGTAACTTTCCAATGGTCGCTCAAATGGGCCATAACATCGGTACACCTGTACCTGTCTGACGTCCGAGTTCAAGTTCATGAATGGCTTGGGAATATTACGTCAAATAGTCACGTTTCTAAAAAAAATGGCCAATAAATTGTAATAGGAAACATGACTTGGCGTTTGCTTTAGATTTTTAATTTTTGTTGTTTACCCATCAACAATTAAGTATTTCCGATAGCTTTTAGCCAAGGATAAATATTAAAACCCTCTACTATATTTAACCAATCTTAACGTTTTGGATTTCTCCGGTTGATTTACTTTCTCACCTCCAACTAATGAAACATATACTTACGTCTTTTTTTTTGCAAAACAATGAATTCCTGTAAAATGCAACTGCAATTATAAGTGCTCGGCTGACTGAACGTACCAAAGGACTCCCTACTCTCAACCTAAATGCGGGACAATTATTAAAAAATTAAAAAAAAACCATTTTATTTATGTGTTTTTTTTCCATCACTCCTTTGACTGCCGCGTTGGGCTTTGTTTTTGGAAAGGGCTTGTCGAGGCCCTGCGACTTTCTCCGTCGACTGTGACTACTTCATTAAACAGGCTGCTGTGGCGTTTTCACGCTGCAATAGACTTTTCCGCACCATTCAACCCGGTGGCACATGTCAGCCACGTTTGACAAAGCTAATTTCGCCACGGAGCCGGCTAGAAAGCGCCAACCCGCCGCCCGTTGCCCCGCCCGTTTTCCACATTTCATATTCCATACATACAAATACCAGACCTCAGCCAGCCAAAACGCCAAACAAACACTTGACACGACCTATTCAATTATTTCTCAATTAAATGTCGTGTAAAGAAGTCATCATCATCGACTCGACATCGTCATTGCATTCGCAGTCGTCATTGAATGCCAAATAAACTGAAAAAAATAAGGATTAATTTTTTTAAAAATGTAGAACTGTTTTGAAATAGTACGGGTTCTTAAAAGTTTTGTAAAAACAGTGTTTTCTTATTTGATACACTTCTTTTTGTATAGGTATAGGTATCGGTCCTTTTTTCTCTTTGTGTATATCCATAAACACTTGGCACATTTGCATCCGCCGCAACTGGGGGCGTGGCACGGCTCAACTGTCGAAATAGTCAAAGGCAAGGTAAATTCAATTTGATTTTTCATTTTCCTAGCCTGGTTTGCGTTAGTTTGCCATGCAGGATTAAGTACTTAGTTTCAAAGACTTTTCACTCACGAAAACAGTTCTCCATTGAAAGTCATGAATGGCAGGGATCCAAAGGGATTCTATATCGGAAAAAGTGTGCTTTTATGGCTTTTGTTTATTGGTTATTGGGTGAAATTGGCTAAAAGCCTCTAGGATACTTGAAAACCATAAGTAACTATTATTATTATTTGTAGGTTGTTCAAAAATATTTTAAAAATCTGAAAACATTTTAAAATGCATTAAGAAAAACCCTTGAATGTGAATTAAATTATAAAAAAAATCCTACCTAATTTTAAGTATGTACTTTTGTATGTTTTTTTGTAGAACGGTTATTCAATTGCTTTTCCCCTTGCTCCGATTCGGGCCTAATGGTCTGCGACTTGTTTCTTTTCAACGTCCATTGTTTCTGCCCCCGTTATGGGTATTTTTTACCCACATCCCACATCCGGACTCCGGACTGGCCCAATCTGAACTGTTTCCATTGTACAAGACCACCGACCCACCTGCACCGCAGCCCAACACCACCCACTTTGCCCGTTATCCTTGGAAAATGGGCAGCCGCTCACTGAAGCTGCTCTAATTGCAACTTTGAAACTCAATTGGGTAGACACAAGGCCGTCAGTCGGGCGTGGAGGGGTGGTGGCATCGCCACTTCTCGACCATAAACCACCAATTAAATATAAATGTTTGCGCTTTTCCAAGCAGTGTTCCGCTGTTTTTTTTGTGGGGCTTTGCAGTTTACAATTTGCACATGGTGTGTCCGAGTCCGAGCGCCCCAGTCGGAAGGTCAGTTCCATTGCTCACACGATGAAAGGCTTCAGGACACGTGCGTTTTGTTTAAGCCCACTGCCAGGCGTCCTCCTTTCTGCTCCAGACTTTATTATAGCCCATGCAAGGCCCTCTAACGAAGCTGCCTTTCTTTCACTGCGTCCTTTCACTCGAGGTCTGCATTTTAGTGCTAAATTCTCTGGAGTCGGAGAAATGCGACAGTAAAAACTTTTCCCCAAAGAAAAAATTAAAATAAAAAGCATATATATGTGTAGGGGCGTGGTCGTTTTGTAGGCGACACATTGTGCCAAAAGTTTTTCCTCGAATCGTTTGGCATAAAAGTTTTTCCCCTCAAACTTCCGAGCAAAAGAGAGGACGAGAAAAATGCTAGAAAATTGGAATACTTTTAAAAGTTTCAAAACTGAATGCAAAAGCCATCTCCCTTCTGGGTGGGGTGTTTCGCCAACTTGATTTTTTCCAACTTAATTAATAATTAATTAGTGAATCTTCTCAAAGCCAAACAAGTGGCCGATGCCTGAAAGAAAATGAGAAATTTTTTATATAAAATAAATTTATGTTAAAATCTCGCACAAAAGACCATGGCAATGGCGAATAAAATAGCTCCACTCAAAGAAATCTTAGGTCTGGAAACGTAAGAAAAGTTTTAATAATTAAAGGGGTATTTCAGCATTATTTGTTATTAAGTTAATGTTCTGATTTTATTTTATACACAAAGATACTTCCAAAGATCCCTTATAGTTACTTAGAAGAAAAAGTATTTTTTTTAAGGTATAGGTTCCTTAAATTAAAACAAAAAGCAAAAATGTTTTAAGTAGTAGTTTTTATGTCAGTGTTATATTCAAATTTTAATTTAAATTTTAAATAAAAGAAACTTTTATGGTTAAGAAATTATTAAAAAAAAAAAAAATTACTTACCGAAAAATGTTAATTTTATCATTTTATAGCCAAATTATTTTATGAATTTGTTGTCTAATTAATAATTACTACAACTTTTGTGGAGTGTGGCAAGTATACTGGGAATCGGACTGAGATGGAGGCCAGCGCGTGCGGCGGCTTTTGTTGGCCGCACTCCGCGCATTAGCGTGGCTAAATTACTGGCGGAGTGTGCTCGTCCACTGGTCATCCGAGGTAGGTGGATGATGGGAGCCACGGGCTGGCTGGGTGGCACGATGGGGAATGTGGTAATTGGAATTAATTCAGCATTAAGCTGCATTTTCTTTAGTCAACTCTCCGTGAGCCTTGGCGGGAATGGGAATGGTGGGATGTGGACATGACCAGCAGCCAGTGGCTGGGAATGGAGGCAACCCATTATGAAGTACCAACATTTTGTATAATTTTTTTCTCTTCCTTGTCCTGTTTTATTTCAATCGCTTGGACTGTTAATTAATTGCGCTTAGTTGCCGCAAATGGCAGTTGGCAAGTGCCACGGTCCTCCACAGTGGGCGTGGCCGGTTGGCAGTTAGCAGCTCGGAGTCATTAGCAAGGGAGCAATTAGCAGAACTTGGCAGCCAAATGCAATTCCACAAGAAAAGGCGAGAATTTTACTATTTCTTAAAATGTGAATTTATAATTTTTTATTTTCTCTTTTCCTAATTAAATTTTTATTAAATAATATTATTGGTTTGAAGGTATAATCCTCCTCTTTGCCCCCAATACTCATATTTTTGCTCACACTTTCTTAGAATTTAATATTGTTTTTAAATAATCATCTCGAAGAGTTTCTCTTGCTTAGATTATCAATTATTCAAAAGGCCTATATCAATTAGGAACCCGCATAATTAAGTTTGTAAGGTATTGTGTGTTTCCTTTCAAAGGCAACAATTGCAGTCAGAAGCACACACGCACTTGTGTATGAAGACCAACATGGCGTATGCGCAATGAGAAAGACCAGTGCTGGTTGTTTCATTGGGCAAGCGAGATAGCTAAAATTTGTCTGCAACTTATTGACATTTTAACACACAACGAGGGTTGCCAGTTAAGTATCTTAAATTATAAACGACTACAAGTTCGGAAAAAATGTTTCTTTTTCCATGGTAGCCAATTTTCAAAATAATGTGAACATTGTTTCCTTTATAATATTTTCCTTTATAATTTTTTATAAAACATTTATTTAAAATATTTTGTTTTATCTGAACAAAATAAAGTCTTTGATTTATGTTATAAGAATGGTTACGCAAGGAATTCGTAAATGATTTTAAAGAATGTTAAATTTTATGAACTGTGAATATTGTTTTTATCAACAATAAATCTCAAAGCGCCTGAGTTTTTCGACAACAAGCTTGGTTCCCATTCTGAAAAGTTTTCGATCCAATCCCAGCTATTATCTGGACGATATTCGTACACCCAATGGCTCCTATAGATACAGCAATGGGGGTAATCACTAAGAGCTGCAAAGAATATCACCGGACGTCCAAACTTGTCGAAGAAGAACATTCCATAGATGTTTCTGAGCCAAGGATCCCAGTCGGAAATTTCATTTCCGTTTATAAACAACCAATTATCGGAGTCACCGTTTTGAATATGCTTTGAACTAAATGCGACGGAGAAAGATCCATCTTTGAAGTAGTATCCAAAATTCCAGTGTCTGAGGGACTTTACCCAGAATTCTTGTCCTAAAATTAGAAAAAATTTTGACTTTTGGTAAGGATTCATAGTAAAATTAACATATACAATTAAGATCCATATTCGTAAATTACCTGACATGCCGTAAGCATCTCTGACTAGCGTGTTATTCCATTTAGCATTAAAATAGTCTTTAAATGAATTGTATTCATTGTTGTACAGTCCATCCTTACTCATGGTTCTTGAAAACTCACGTTGCAATATAAGCAAGTTACGGGATTTGAGGATATTTTTGTCCAATGTTTCCAAATTCTCGCTGATAACTGATTCTTCAGCTTTGTTATAACAACGATCAAAAGTCTGTATTCAGAAAAAGGAATGTAATTAAAATGGTAAAGTTTAGTATTTTAAGGGTCAAATACCGGTTCATTCCTTGACGCTGAAAACTGTGTAGGGGAAATGTGTTGATAACATTCTGTCGGACTGCTCCATCCTTTATTGGTCCATGTCATACATAGCAACTTATCTTTTCTTAAAAATACCGTCATGGTTGGAGAGCCTTTATGGTTCATGAAAATCAAGCCGTGATGAGTTGTAGAAGACACACGAAGGCTCCTTTTATGCCTTACACTGTAGGCATATGCGGCCTCAAGCCCAATTAACAATGACAAATCAAGCGGGTACCAATTGGAGCTCTTTTTGATATCAGTATCTCGTTCAACCACGACGGGTTGCATGTAAGATCCGTCCTGAAACTGCATGAAACCTGCGCTTGGTAGCCTATCTTTATCATCGTAAACTTCATCATAAAAGTGCGTCCAATCGTGGTACTTAGTTTTTCGTACGGTGCATGCTTGATCTAAAATTTGTTGCAGGTTGCTTCGATCGTATTGAATTGATGTAATATAGTTGGAAAAATAAACAGCATGATGATCCGAGCCGGTCAGAGTTGGGTTAATAGTTGCTTGATTTGATGGACTGTCCATTCGCGCGAATACAGTCTGATCTGCGGACCCATATATAAAGTAATCCAGAACATCGTTATCGTGAGTACCTTGTGGAGGCTGGACCAATCGTTCTTGGTTTTGAATCAAAGTGGGTTGCACGTCTTGAGGTAAGCGGTTGAAGTCCCCGGCTAGCATCCAGGAAGCAGAGGGTCTGTGGATACTCATATGGGATCTAACGGCTCTTAGTTGAGTAAGTACTTCGTTCCTTGTTCGAGTGGGTTCAGCGTGGATGTTGAGGAAAATGTCATCAGTGCCAAGAACCAATCCCACAACGGGTCGATTAATAAATGCGCGGTCGCGGGAATCACATATGGCCCGGTGATTATGCTGAGATACAAAGTATAGTATCCCTGTTGCCGCATGTCTGCTTACAATAGTCAATCCAAGTGCTTGTCGAACTGAAATAAAAATGTGAAGTGTAATCAATTCCAGCAACAATTTCTATAGAAGACTGGGATTGTACAGCAGTTTAAATTGGTAAAATAATACAGATAATCGTACTCACCATTTTGAGGCGCGGGGAAAAAATATATATACAATAGCGTTCCTTGATTTACATACTCCCGTACTTCATAATATCCATCATTGCGGCATTCAAATGCATTTTCAGAATCAGCTATGTAAAACTATTTCAAATGATTGAATATGAAAAATTACGTTGGAAATTAAATGACTTTTCAGAAAACGACGATCTAGTGAAAAGCTTGAATATACACAGTACCCACGTCACATTTCATAATATTTTATCTCTTATGCCAATAAATGTGTATGTAATTAAATACACTTAAGAAGGTGTTTTTTAAATGTTTTTTGTCGAACCACCCGTACCTCTAAATTCTGATGAATGATATTTCCTGGGTTTTCGCTAGCAACATTTCCACTTTCTTGCACAAAAGCTAAATTCAACGACGGGTCGCTTAAAAATAAATCCAAAACTTGCTGTAGTCTATAACCTTGTGAATTCCAAGTCGTAACATTATAGTCCGTAACTAAACTATAAACGAAATTCTGTTTAAGTAGTACTGCAAATAATAATGAAATCACTGTATTCATTGTTACTTGTAGATCAGAAACTGTTTAGTGAATGATGAGTACTGTGATCATATTTTTCAGGCGAGCCCCAGAAAGTGAAATTGTTCGAGGGATTTTTTCTGCTGACCTGTCTTATCGGCACTCGTACAAACATTCAAAACCAGATTTGTACATAATTTTGTTTACTCTCCCAACTGATAATATACTCATCAAATGAGCGGTTCAATATTATCAAGTTTAAAGTTTGAAGAAATTTCTTTCTAGACCTAGCGTCTTCATGGCCGATAAGTACTGAACGACTTCAGATTAATGATTGAAAAAAAATAAAAATATAAAGAACTTAATTAATAATAATAAAAGTATTTATTGTTGTACATGCTATTAAATACAATTGAAAAAAATTTTATTATAAATTGTTTGAGTTTAAAATTCATGAACGGTGTGGAGTAAGTTATATTTATTATTAACTTACTTATTAACCTACTACTCTTCTTGGGGCGGGGTTAAAATCTACAGCATAGTGGTCTGAGAACAAATTAGCATTAATAGTTGCTGTATGAGGTCTGTTCATTAGAGCGAAGATATTTTGATCTGCGGATCCATATATAAAGTAATCTATTATGCGATTACGGCGAGTATTTTGGGAAGGGTGAATTAATCGCTCATGGTTTTGGGCCAAACCAGATTGTACTCCACTAGGCTCGCGGTTGAAATCGCCGCCTAGCATCCAGGAAGCATTGGGTTTGTAGACACTCATAAAAGATTTAATGGATCGTAGTTGAATTAAAACTTCGTTGTTTGCAGAGGGTTCAGCATGGAAATTAAGAAAAATGTCGTTGCCAAAAACCAATCCCGGAATGGGACGATTTATAAAAGGACTTCCGCGGCGATCAAAACAGTCTTGGTGATTGTGCAGAGACACGAAGTATAGTATCTCTGTTGCCGGTTGCCTGGTTACAAAGGTCAATCCCAATTTTTGTAGAACTAAAATTAAAGTTTGAATTAAATCAGTGGATAATAAAATCGTGCAAAAATTTGTTCAGAAGGGTGATTGTATAAATTCACTTCACTAGGAAATCCGGTTGGGGCACGTATCGATAGAATATGAGAGATTATTGTATTTACCATTTTCGGCTGCGGGGAAAAAATAAATATATAAACGGGTTCCTTGATTAAAATACTGCCGAACTTCATAATATCCATCATTGGCGCATTGAAATGCATTTTCACCATCAGCCATAGTAAACTATTTCAAATGAAAAATAGGATTAAACTTTGATTAAGTATTTGAAACTATTACTTAAAGGCAATAAAGATACTATTTTTAAATTTTCTTATTAGGAGTATTTGTACCTCTAAATTTTGTTGAATGACTTGGCCTGGGTTTTGCCTAGCAACATTTCCACTTTCTTGCACTAAAGCCAAACTCAAGGATGGGTTCCTCAAAAATGAATCCAAAACTTGCTGCAATTTATAACCATCTGAGTTCCAAGTCATTACTTTATAGTCCGTAACTAAACCAGAAATGAGATCCGTGTTCATTGTTCCGCGCGAATCAGAGACGGTTTAGTGAATGATGAGTACTGGGATGATATTTTTCAAGCGAGCCAAAAGATTACTCAGAGGGAGGTACCATTCGAAGGGATTGTTCTCTATTGGCTTGTCTTATCGGCACTCATCCAATTATTTGAATCACTTATGTGCAGAATTTCGCTAGCTCTCCCAATCAAGAAAAGACTCATTGATAATGATTGGAAAATTCCCAAAAAAAAGTGGCATGAAATGGCATAAATTCTCCTGAAATGTGTGTTTTAAGGTTACAAATATAGTCCCATAGCTCAAGATCAATGTCTCATATAAATTTTGATAAAAAGTCTCAACCTTAATCGGGTAAAATACCAAAGGTGAGACATTTCTGATCGTTAAGTTACTTATATGTCAGATATGGAATTAAATGGTGTTCAAATTCTGGAATTCCTAGAATTTAATTATATAATTAATATTTAAAATTAAAAATGTCATGTTGAATGAGCTCATTTTTTAGCATCCAGATAGGGTTTTATCTGGCCATAGTCTGGTTCGGAGTGCCATTTTTGTTTAGGAAGTTTTAGGAATAAAAAAAATAAGTATTGCTTAGAAACAAATTTTATATAATAAAAAAAAGTTTTCTTGATTAAAAGGTTGATGTATATTTTTGGTTTTACAAAGTTCTCAATCTGAAACTTTTCAATCGCCCCCCTTTGGTTCGTTCTGAGCAGTCTGCTTCTTGTAACTGTTTTATCTGTTTTCCTTGTACGCAGTGCCACGCCCCCTTCCTCTACTGGCACTGGTATGCCACTCATTAACCTGTATGTATATACCTATATGTGTATAAATACACTCGTGTTGGTTAGGTGTATGGTTGTATAAGCCTGCTGTAAAATCCTTTTGTTTTTTATCTGACAATCGCCAGCTTTCCTCCTGCCTGCAGCCTGTGTCTTCCATTGTCCCAGATATATTGTAGATAGTCATTGTGCTATTTTACGCTTGATTACGGCCAAAGGATTTTTGGCACACACGTACTCCCACCCACACACCCACGAAACCACCACGCCCCTCCGCCTTCTCCGTTTGGCATTGTTCATTGGCAGTTGACCGCGTGTTTGGCACTCGCAGATCCACAATACCAGTAATTCCTGCGCCTGCTCCCCCTCTGCACCTTGGCAACCATTAAGTGGATACGCTTATTATCCATTGTTGGCGTTGATATGTGCCCACTCTCTCTATGCTTTTCCCTTTCCCCCATGTTTCCCTAATATGCCCACTCTCTCTATGCTTTTTCCTTTCCCCCATGTTTCCCTAATATTTCCATTTCTATTCGGATTCGTTTTGACCTGCCGTATCCTGCCGACCATAAGTCCTGTGTAATTTTATTCATAAACTCAGCTAAAACACATTGCTGGCTTGGCTTAGCCAGGATTTTTAGTGTGGTGTTTGAAATAGTTACACTTGGAGAAATAAAACCTTATAAAAAATTAATCGTTGAATACTTAATTATATGTAATAATCATAAAGATACATATGTTTTTGGAATTTATGAATGAATTTTTGAAATTCAAAAAACCCATCCAGGTGTTTTTATCTGTCTTGTTTAATTTCAGAGATGTATATTTCCAAACTTGAGAAGGCTCATACTTTAAATATACTTATAAACAGAATACAGAATTATAAACAAATCTTCTGTCTATGTAAAAAAACGTTTTTCTTGCAGTTCCAACCGGTGTTGGGAGGCTACAACTCCTTTGTTTTTCCGCGTTTATTTGCTCCTGGCAGTTGGCAAGGCATCAAAAAACACACAGCAGGCGGCTGGCTGGCTGCTGGCTGGTTTGGCTTTTGTGTCAATGAATACAATAACCAAATTAAATAACCAAGGTGATGCAGCCAGGCCCATAAATCTGTTGCCTGCAGGCGCGCCAAACAATTGCTGCTAGAAGGGGTTAGAGCTGCCGAATGGAAAGCCTTCTGCAATTAGCGTACTTACCAACTAATAGATACTTATCTTCGGATCATAACTCATCCGCCGTCCCAACAATGATGCCTGGGAAAAAATCTGTCTAGCCTTTAAACCGTCTTGTACATCCTCACTTGAGTTTATCGTTTTGATATCCAATTTGTTTATTTGCGTTTATTCCGGCATAAAATCAAAATAAACGCTGCGGGGACATTTCTACACACATGTTCGTGTCCCTGTTGAAATGGCAAACAAATAATGATATCAACTGGCCGACTCAAGTGCATCCCTCCCGCACAAAGACCTGGGATGTGTGTGCGTGCATCCTTTAGATACATTTTCCTTAGAGTAGTACCTTTTTTCCACTCGACTGATTCGCCTGCGAAATGAAATATCCACTCGAGTTCATCATCCAAATTCTTCTGTTAGTTCTTCCCCTTCTCTAAATGCTTATTTTTATTTGCTTGTTTTCCTTGCTGATTTTATTTCTTCTTTCACTTGCCTCGCTTTCATTTCATTTTTTTTACGAAATTGCGAGCAATTTAAATGCAATTAAATTGCAATTTTACCACACACAGAGACCCTGCGGTATTTGCGCAAATCTCGCACAAAGGCGTCAGTTTTCGCTGGCGATTTTTCTGCCTTTCTTCCTGAAGAGCCGGCTCCATTGTGTTGTTACCTTTGTGTGGGCCCGGCTAAAAAGGAAATAACACTGGAAACCTTTGCATTTACAGATTTTACAATTATTTTCGCACTAAAAAGCGAGAGGCGCCACCCGGCCTCCACTCTGCTCCCTGGGTTCTGTGCAACCGCCTCTTGACTCGCCTGTTAATGCTGCTTTCTTTGTGCGCGGCGCATAAACAAAATGGCCGCCTTCTTATCTGGCCCATTGTAAGCCTCCGAGTCCTGCTGCCTTTGTCCCGCCTCCAAGCCCCCCCTTCCCCACATCCTGCCCCTCTTACACACTTACTTTCCATCGCCGTGCATCGGCGCGTGCTTTATAAATTGTATTTAAAAGATATAGCAAAGCCAAACAATTCCTTTGAACGAATGCCACAAATAATTGCTGGCCTTGCTCCGCCAAGGGCTTTGTCTGGATCTCAAAAGGAACAAGAGTCCAGAGTCCTGCGGAAATGGTAGTTGCATGTGGGAGGGGGTAGAAGCAGCTGGTACTTGTCCTAGGTGCTCTAATCGCGGTTAAACCACTAAAATAAAAGGTTTGCACTTGTTATGATTTTATAAGGCGACAGCTGAATATAAAGGTATTTTTCAAATGGGTAATATTGATTTAAATCTTGAGAAATCAACACTACTGCAAGTTTTTTTATATTTAAGTAAAAGCTTATTTTTTTTTTTTTTTTAGGTTAGTGAGCCACCTTGTAAACCAAGGAGGATTTGTTGAAGCGGACGGATATTTCCATGGCACACATAAGTCAAAAAATGTTTTTAAAGTAAAATAAAATTTTTCTAAAGTGACATTAAGATCAGTGCACGGAGAGATCGGAGACATCTGATCGATACCAGGAGTGGTTTCGATTGAGACCTTCAGCGTGGGGTAATATGGATCCTCTGGGGTTGAAAGGGGAAAAACTCTGGAGAGAGCAGTACCATCAGGATCAGATACAAAACATAAGTCTAAAAGCCGACCTAGCGAATTTATGAAATGTTTTTTAAAATAACTTTTATTTCAATAATTTTCGTTCCTAAAAGTCACTAAATGAATACCATTTGGCGTCTTTCTACTTCAGCATATCCCTCAAAAACATAAGACACACTCACTTTCCATTAAAATTTCTTTGTCTTCCATGAATTCATATAGTTTTAATTACTTGACATGACCGAAACCCTTTTACGTGCCGAAACTACTTAATTTCCATTAGGTGGTTATACTGCATAAATATTGAATATAAATATTAATTAACGCCCGAAGGGGGTAATCTTAAGGTATTTTCCAAACCAAGAAGGAGGAAACGCAAAAGTTTTCTTGCTAGGCGGCCATGTGTTGAATATTTAATTTAATTTAATTAAATTCACTTGGAAAATAACTTTGCAAGCGGCAACAAGAAGTGCCAACGTAATGAGATAAATTTGCATAAAAATGTCCTGACTTGTCGCGATTCCTTCTATATCCTTGGCAGCCTCCTTGGGCTTGTTGCCGAAAGGAAAGTTATTTGCCAGTTCAGTTCGTGCCTGTTTTTAAGGATCGGCGAGGGTGAGGAGGAAGTTCCTAATCCTTTACGGGGGAAAATACTGGCATATGCCAACACCAGAGAATCCAGAGAATCAAACGCCAAATTAAATTTTAAATAACTCTCCAGCGGCGGGGATAACAACATTTTCAAATGTTTAAAAATTTTGCTACTTAATGAAAAGTAAAAAACCAGCGTCGAGTTGAAAGATGGGCACGTGCCGCTCATAAAGGATAGCGATGGCCCATTGTCCTCGCAGGATGCTGCATCTAATCCTGATTCCGTCAGCTTAATGTCACCAAAACATATTTCACTTTTACAAATTGAAAACAAATTCAACCCGCGCCTGCTGGTTACAAAAAACCTAGGCTGTATACATTATCCTTTTTCTATTTTCCTTTTCTATTTTTCTTTTCTTTTTTTGTGATAAATTGTTATCCTGTTATGGGCTCAAGTGTGCGGTGTGTGTGTGTATTATTGGTGGTCAGTTTGGGTCGTTATTCCTTTGGTCTGCACTTTATTTGAAGTATCATGTTGCTGATGCATGAATTATGCGTTTTGGCTGTTTTTGATCATTTTTTGCAGCAGAATCATATTTTTGGCACTCTTCCCTCCTCAACAATAAAGTTGGTCTGTCAAAACCGAATAAATACAGTGGGTAATACATTTTACTATATTGGTTGATTAGTTTCATAATTCTACATATATTTTTTTTAATTTTTCTCGTTGTCTTTTAATGGAGTAATTTACACATTAAGTTCCTCACAGCTCTAAAAATTTAAAATCAATTTCTTTCAGTTCCTATTAGTAATGCTTAAATAACCTTTTGATTTTCAACTGACCTGATCAGTATCTT